CACCTAGTTTTATTCTTTTACAATGAACAAAGGAATCATATACATTCAATCAGGGGATTTTAGAATGATAATCAATAAATTGATTTAAGATAGGATCTAAAATAAATGTATATTGACTTATCAATATAATTAGATCAGATCAATAGAATAGGATAAAGAAAAGAAAAAAGAAAATAAGCGAATCAATGATTTCAAAGAAATTTTTTAACTTAAATTCATGAAACGACCGTCCAGTTCTTCCAGGTTTTCCACGGTGGTCTAACTTCAATTAACTCATGATTTCAACTGTATATATGAAGATTTCTTACTGTAAGGTATATTTCAATGATGAGAGTTTCCTAAAGAAGGCATATAAAAGGGAACAAGGCGATTACGTATAAATGTATTATTATTATTATTATTGACTACTTTTGTAATATTGTACGGTTTTTATCCCAGAGTTCATGTTTTCGTGATTAGTTAAGTGTTGTATCTTGGAGGAAAAAAACAACAACAATGAATCACCGAAGCAAGAATAATCGTTGCATTTATATAGAATATATATATATATATATATATATATATATATATATATATATGTATCTATGTGTATAAAAGAGATTATATTCATATATCCGTAGATGAAATTCGGGAGTGGGGGAATATATGTTTGGTTGATTACACATATCTCTTTCTGTCTCTTTGTGTGTATGTATGGATGAGAACTTTTAATATATGATAACCATTTCATAAACAGTAATATATAGCTGTTTATGTAAGGAACTAGTAATAATAATAATAATAATAATGTTTGGTAAGAGACAAAAATACAACAAACCTGTTCTAATGTAATAAGTAAATCCGTGCGCGCACACACACACACACACAATATATACAATACAAATATGTCTATACAGATGAAAATGAGCAGTCTTTCTAGGATTTGCAAAAAAAACAAAACAACAATCTAGGTGAGAAATGAAAACGAGATTTACTATTCTATGGGGTTTTTGTTTTTTTTTCCAAGGAAAGAAAAATTCCTTGAAAAAATAATGTATGGCAATCTATTTCATGAGAACTCTCATATCCTTTTTAAATTCATGATACTTATATGTAGGTATATACCAGTTATTCAATGTACTGATGGAATGAAATCGATAGGATTAACTTAAATAAGGAACTATATTGTTGTCATTTCCTTGTGCTTACTTGATTTCCATTTATCATTAATATTATTATCATTATTTAATGTTGCAAGGGAGAAGAAATATACCCATGATTGATTTGTTCAATGAATTAAACAATGAAGAAACATGAAGAATAAGAAGAAAGTGAAACACGAAATGGTGAATGAAATGTTTACAAGAAAAGAATATACTTTGATAGAAAAAATTATTGAATTGAAGTATACTTAATAGAATTAATAGAAAGGTTTCTGGAATTTTTGGAGCATATAAACGACTATGAAAGTATATATTATTACCATTCAAGATTTATAAGAAGGGGGTTTTGTGGAGATTTTAGTAATTTTAAATAGTTGAGATCATGAGTCAATTGAAACTAGACTATCATGAAAAACCTGGGAGCACTGGACGGCCGTTTCGTTCTATTGCGAGATTCTTCAGAAATGCGCATCCACGATCCCGCCTCGCGAGATTCGAAGTTGAAGTTAGACTATAACACCATTGGATGCCAACTCAGTGGCCTAGTGGTTAATCGCTCGTGCACGAGACTTGTAGGTGCTGAGTTTGAATCTCGCGAGGTGGGATCGTTGATGCGCACTGCTGAGGAGTCCCACAATAAGATGAAACGGCTGTCCAGTGCTTCGAGGTTTTCCATGGTGATCTAGTTTCAATTGACTCATGACCTCAACTATATTCAATATTTGTTAAAATAGAAATATTATGGAAAAATACAAATTTTGTAGTGAAAAATATTAAATTGGTGGAATTTGTTACAAATTAAGAAAATAATAATATCCAGGATTTATACGATGAATTACTGTATTTTACTTGAAGATTTTAGCTACTTATAAGTAGTTCAAGTTTTTAACAAAATAGTTTGTGGTCTCAACGTTTAGTTCGCTTCACTTGGACAATTATGTTAACTGGCTTTTTTGACAGTAAATCTGCTTATCTGCACCATGGAGTTAGAGTTCTAGATTTTCCAATAAACACTTTAGTTAACATGTAAAAAAGAGAATTCATGAGTATACAAGGTTGATAATGCGTCAATTATATTCATGTCTTAATGTCTTTGTAGTTTGTAACATGATTCACTTGTTTACGTCATGATTTGAATGCAAAATTTATTGATTCGGCGTAAAAATAAATAATGATGTGAAAAGCTTTGTCTTTTCGTAGTTCATGGATTAAACATAAGCAACAAGATATTTTCCATCAAGAAATTACATCGCCTATAAAACTATAATAAATAGATAAATATTTGATTATATAATTTAAGTCGTGAACTCATTTTAGCTGGGTCATCATTGGAGACCAGGAAACATTTCACGACCGTATAGTCCTAGTATTAGGTTTCTCAGTTGTGTGCAACTACGACTCTGCACCTGAGGATTGAAACTGGGGACTTTGGCTGCACGCGCAAAGGCCTAACCTCTGGACAACTAAGCTGGGATCCATTGGTGAATATGTCTAAATTCAATTAATTTATGATACTGCATAACCCTTACCCATTATATGTGCTAGACAACTATCTGACATTTGATATGGTTGAACTTCACTAGTCACTCCAAGAGGTGTATTTTGAATCTAGTCACCTAACTATATGATTAAGGTGGAACTTACAAACTAATGAACCTGACAAAAAGCGCATGATTAAGCCTATATCTCAGAAGCTTCGTAAACATAGTAGAGAATAAATAACTTTGAAAACAGAGGCTACAGGTAAGACCAATAAGAATCACATAAGATCATTAAAGTCAGTAATCATGAGAATAAGACCATAAAATTGGGAACTGTAATTCGCTCAAAAATGCTAAGGGTTGATGCAAATATTATTATCTCTGATGTACGTGATATAATAAAATGCTATGACACATTTTATTACCTATGTTATTCATAGAACATTATAAATATATACAATTCAGGTAGTTTTTTGTCAAATGAATGTTCAGACCACATTAAAAATATGAGCGACTTCTCGTGCAGTTTTTGATTCATCACTGTAAGAGTAATGTATGTACTTATTAAATCACAATAGTGAGAACTTCTGAAGTAATCATGTTAGAATACGTTCGTCGAAGTACAAAACGTAGTGAAATAAATCAACTGACGTTCATTAAAACTTACACAGGCTGAATCTAATGAAAAAACATATCTGATATAATAACTAAACAAATTCCACCGACTAAGAGGAGAAAATGAAAACACTGATAATTACTTATCAGTGTAGGATTGCGTAGATTGTTGAGCTTCAATGAAATCATGAGTCGATCAATATCGAGCCACCAATGAAGACTTGAAAGCACTGGATGGCCGTTTCGTTCTAGTATGGAACTCCCTAGTAGTGAGCGTTCATGACCCACACACTGAACTCAAACTCAGAACACTCAGTCTCACGCGCGAATGCCTAATCCTCAGACCACTGAGCCGACATCCAACGGATATGAAGTGCAACTTCAATCAATTGAAATCGAAGGCCCTGGGTTTGAGTCCCATGTGAAGGGCTGTGTTTGTCCACTGTTGAAGTGTACCATATTGGGATGAGATGGACGTCCAAAGCTTCTAGGTTTCAAGTGGTGGTCTACGTATGATCTATTCATGGTTTCAGTGAGACTAACAAGTAAAATTTTTTAAAATATTGCTTTATAACGGTGATTTAAAGGTACAGTTAAGTTAATTTGTCGTTTATACGAGTGTTATATCTAGAGCTTTATATTCTTGCTATACAGTGTACTGCTAGACTACTTGAACGATCGAACCCGCAACATCGCAACATCGCAAGAGAGAAGACAGAAGACTAGTAAGTAGGTATGCTAATCTCAACACAGTGTTATTTATAGTTATTTATAGTTTTTAGTAAAAACGAAATCATCATTATATTTATCTAATTCATACACAGTGGGTTACTAACATTTGTCCAATAGGGAAGCTACACGTAGTGATTTTGGAATATTCTACCAAAAGCTGATTAGATGGAATATATTCAGCTCCTTATGAGCTTCTTAGAGCTTCGTCATGTTCACCTGTGGACCATCCTCACAACGAGATAACACGATAATACTAAATACGATATATGATATACAAGATAATCGCTAGGGAACATTAGACAAATATACTAGCCAGATACACGATTCACAACTGATCATTAAGAACTTGATCACAGAGACAAAGCAGTTCGTTTTCACATAGTAAATTTAGAGTAGTAAACCACATTTTACAATAATAAGATAGACTTATATTACTGATTATAAACTACTTATTTATTTCCATTCACTGACAAATCTCTAGTCAACTATCATACAACATATCAGATATAGTTGAAATCATGAGTCAATTAAAGCTAGACCACTATGGAAAACCTGGAAGCACTGGATGACCGTTTCGTCCTATTATGGGACTCTTCAGTGCTTCCAGGTTTTCCATCATGGTCTAGCTTCAATTGACTCATGATTTCAACTATGAAAATACTGAAATCTCCACAAAACCCCTTCTGATTATATCAGACATAGTTTCTTAAATTGTATTTAATTCATTAGAATAACAGAACTATTCATGAACTATTCTTATGATTCCAAAAAAAACAACACAAAACTGGTGTTTCATAGAATCATAGTCATACAACAGTAATAAAGTATAATTTAATCCATTGTAAATAATGGTAATAATGATAATAATAGACTTTATAGTCATCTCATATATGAGTCTAATTATAGCGTAATGTATATTCTGCTGTCTCATATTTCAGTAATATTAGTCAAATTGAGTATATTTTTTCTCGAGTGGAGGGTATACGATTTACTCATTATACATTATGTACACACAATAGTACTATTTACATAATAGAAAAGAAGAGAAGAAAAGTAAAGAGATACAATAGAAGTTTTTGTATAAAAGTCTTTAGAAAACATCCTAGTATACTACTTACTTTGCAAAAAAGTGTATTCAATCATGAATAGGTTCTTTTGGTCTGTTACACAATGTACAATTTTATTAGTTATCATATGTAATTTGAATACAAGTAAGTAAAGTATAAGGTGTTTTAAATTTATTTGGTATGGTTTACTTGTATCTTATCATTATTGTCTCTTATTGGTATATGTGAATCCTGAGAGGATTGTCTCGATATTGCCTTAAGTCACAAGCTTTATAAGTAAAGATGGACTCAGTAGTTAAGGGGATAACGTAATGGCGTTTGAAGCTAATGGTACTGGGTTCCAGTCTCTGAGTGAACATCAACTCAGGTACATTCAACTGATGAGTTTCAAATAGGATGAAACGCGTGTCCTAGTTTCCACTGCTAGCCACCATCCATTTTTTGCTTATTAGGTGTTTTTCTATGTAATTCTGATCAAATTTGAGTAAACATAATATTCAATGACATAATAAGCCATATTATGGGCTACCATAACTTATCGTGTATATCTATAAAAAACAACAATCATTTGTTAATGATGATTACATTATATCATAGAAAATAATGAAATTATAAGAGTAGACCAATGCTCAGGACAGAGTTGGATGGAGAATACTGGTGAGCGGCCTATGCTCCTCGACGAGGGGTAACAGGCGTAAGTAAGTAAGTAAGTAATGTGCTTGACTTAATGATTAAATAACTTTAAGCATTTTGGGTTACCTGAAAGTTATGGATTCAATCCTTTCCAGGGTTTAGAGTATGGATTATCGAGTAGTAACCAACTTAGATATCATATATATTCAAAGCTTCTTAGTACTCAATAGTTTTCTAGATGATGTCAATTCGTGATTCCAACTTGATACAAAACTGAACGGTTGTCACATAACTCTACTTGTATTTTAATACCAATAACTATTTGTTATGTCTGAGCATCAACAGTTCTCATGTTGACTCCAGTTCATAGTGAAAAATACCTTCGAATAATATATTTTTCTATAATTCAGCTATCGCTGATTTATATACAAGTAGTATCTTATATTTCCAATGCGAACTTGCTAAATCTATTTTTAATACTTTACTCTAGTGAAAGCTGTTCCAACAAATAAGTAAGTTAAACAGCATAAATTAAGTTCACTTAGTAATGTTTGTTTGAATCTTCCCATTGATGTTTAGGACTGTAACTAGTCAGTCTCTTATTGGCATATGTGCATATTGCCTCGATATAGCCTAAATTCACAAACATTATAAGCAAAGATGGATAGTGACTAGCATTTGAATCCAGTTTGATGCACGTTTCATCCTATTAGGGACTCGTCAGATGGATGTACGTGCATCTCATAGTTGATGTTCACTTTGAGACTCGAACTCATCACCTTTCGCTTCAAACACCATCGCGTTACCCACTTGGTCACTGAGTTTTGATAGCTACTTGATTGTGCAATGGGATGAAGTTTAAATTCACTTATTAATGTTTGTTTGAGATTTAAATTTGATTAAATGTATGAAATCTCAACCTCTTAAATAGAACTGATGATGATTCTAATTTTCAAAGAAATTCATCAACACATGGAAGTTATTTTATGTTAACATTGAGAAGATTTTCCAACTAAAATGTAGTATAAATTCATTTTTGTACTGTTTGTTTGAATCTTATCTGTTGAAGACTGAAGACTAATCAGTCTTTTATTGACATATATGTATCCTGTGTGGACTGCCTCGATATTGCCTTAAATCACAAACTTTATAAGAAAAGATGAATACGATACAGGTACATCAAACTGATGAGTCTCAACTAGGACGAAACGCGCAACCTAGATTCCATTGTTAGCTACCATCCATCTTAAAAATGTAGTATGATTAGATAAATGATAAATGTTATTTTGTTTTAAACTCAATATTTATTAAATTAACTCTTTTGAGTAATATAGATTTACATGTATTTTATACAATGTAACATTGTATCGTTCATTTTCATTGTAACAGATAATTTAGAGACAGTTGGTATATATCTTTCAAAATGTTCGGAAAAAGAATCACTGATCAAGATCTGACTGATGACATCAAGATTACTTTTTAGTTGCTATTGCCCATTAAATTGAATTGTATGACACATATTCATTTTAAGAAGACGATTATCTTGTTCATTAAGACAAGAAGTCATATTTTCTACCAATTAGTTTTTGCATATGATCATACAGATTACATTTTGAAAAGACCTCTTTATTTGATCAAGTTACTTCACTGATGATTGTCATACGGTACAAACCATTTAGTACTTAATTTATGTTTTGTTTGAAGACTGGATACAATACTACTTCATTTAATGAAAGGTTCTGTACGAAATTGATGGACATTATTAGTTAACTTGGTGTTTGAAATTTAGAGACATATCAATCAAAGGACAGTATTGGTTTGAAAACGGTAGAAGTTGTCGTGAGATTGATTTATAGTTATTATACTGAATATAGATATGTCATTCAAATATTTCGACTGATTACTGAAAAGGACTCATTTTACAAAATCAGTACTCGCTCAACTAAGGGATAAATCATTGAATATATTGCTAATAATATGCTAATTGATAGGTTTGATAAATACTGGTCGTTTGACAGATCTTATGAAGTAATAAGTCAAAGTTAACTGTTTGTAAGACAAACAAATGATTTTACAGTATGTGGGATTACAGATACTAGTAATCAACTTACCGTGGGAAATTCATATTGTAATGTCAAGTTGTTTGACTAAGCTTTTGGAGTTATCATTGGGGTTTGAATATTCTCAGAAGTAAGTGAGAGTTTCGTCTACGACTGGTATTCTCATCGAAATAATAAGTTCTACATCTATAACATTCTATGAGCTTACCATTCTTACAATTAGTCAGAGTATACCATGACTATCTTCAATATTCAATCAAGTTTTAAAACTGTTTAATTCTTAAAAATCACTTAATTTGTTAGGAATTGAATGCTTTCTAACCACTAAAGTATTATACGAAGTTAAATTCTTAATCACGGAGCAAGAAAGTCTTCTTGGTTTCTTTTCTACTGATACATAAATATCCGGTATGAAGTTTGGTAACAACAAAGTTTCGGGTAAAAGTTAACTTTTACTTCGAAAAGACTGATGTCGATGAAATTGTTAACAATAACAATAGAAGTTGAAGGAACATAAAAGTATATTACTGAGGCCTTAAACTTTCGTCCAATAAAATTGCCCATTGGCTACTCACTACGAGGTTCGATTACCGAGGTAAGTGTTTCAAAGTCCAGCCCAATGATTCACCTATACATATATGAATCCAATAGACTGGTTTCCATTAAACATATAACCAGGTAGCAACACTCTCTGGTTTATTACCTTGGTTACGTAAGATCAGATGGTTATTCACACTCAAGTTTTAGATAGTAAAATCCATTGACCTGTTCCACATATGGTTTGATAAACAAATGATGCAATATTCAGTTTGGACAGCAGTTTCATAGGAACATAAATGCGATCTATTAAGCTAAAAATAATCGTAACAGATACATGAAAAAAAATGAAAGAAATAGACAGAAAAGTTAATAGGAATTACAGAACAGACATTAGAAACAGAAATGGCAAATGATGACGAACAATATAGACCGTCAAGCTACTGGAAATATGCAGAAAAAATTGACATTCCAATTTTCAGGGTTATTCTTTCTTGAGCAAAACCAAAAATCAAGTGAATTAGCAACAGGCAAATTTATCTAATCGAGTGTGAGAATACAAGACGAACTGATAAGTACATGAGATCGGAAAAGCGATAATTCTGTGAACAGTAATACACTGTGAAAAGAACATGACAAGCAAACATTCATATTATAAAAATGGACAATTGATTTTAATAAAAAGAAACATTTAAAGAAACATTAAACAGCATTTGTGGTGTTATTATTCTTGACAGTGGTACACATGCAGCACCTACTACGTAAGTCACTTGAACATATTTTCGTAGTCTGTATAGATATCTGACGATTGTTAGTTTGATCATCTCATCTGAATACAAATGTATCCACCAATATCATTAGTGGACATATAACACAGGATGACATTTATGGCAATGTATCATTACAAGTTTAATTTTACTGGTGACGACAGCCCTAAATTTTCAGCAATTTTTATGTAATTCGTTAGTTGAAGATCATGCCGACGTCCATTTGAATATGGATATTCCTAAAGATATTTATTGAATGAATTATTCTACTACCGGAAACCCACTATTATAGAATTGAATAGGGATAAATTAAAATTTTGAAGACTTTTACAAAACAATCCAACAAGGTTTCATGATTGATGTAACAAGATAGAAAATAATTGGGACCGGTTGTTAAAACTCAATTCTACTGGTTCATAATCGATTTAAAAAATTCAAACAGATTAGTCCTTTTGATTTTAAGTGGATTTGAATGATATTATTTATGTTAAGTTCTCGGTATATTAGTTTGGTTCTTGTAGAGTAAAACGATTCATACATTGTTGATTAGTTATTCTGTCTTCTGACATCTAGTCGTTGTAGCTGCAGACCGATTATTGATGATTGAGTAAAAATCACATTGAAGAATTAGACAATACGTTCGATCCTTCATTCAGTTACTACATTTATTATCGAAATTGTACAAGTATTTATAAATAGTTTTATACGCAAAATACTCAATATCCTTAACCGGATACCATCACCAACAGCCTACTGTGGGAGAGGACAAACCAGATTCCAGCTGAGAAAATAATTAGGAAAAGACGATGGAAGTGGATAGGACATACATTGTGGAAATAACTAAACTGCATCACGAGGCAAGCCCTTACTTGGAGTCATTTAGGGAAGCGGAAAGGAGGAAAGCCAAAAAAACATTGCGCTGGGAGATAGAAGTAGATATGGAGAGGATGAATAACAACTGGAAAGAAGTGGAAGTGATTTCCTAGGACAGGGTTGGATGGAGAATGCTGGTGAGCGGCCTACGCTCCTCCACGAGCAGTAACAGGCACAAGTTAGTAAGTAAGTATATACTTCATGCTTCGATAAACCACTTAAAATATTGTCACTCGTAATTACAATCAGAAGTGAATAGCTTTCTCGAGGTTATCAAAAAATAAACATCGTATGAATATATACCACTGGTTATCCATTCAGTGTTCAATGAATGTCAATTTTGTAAACTCAAGACTATCAATAGTAAAAACAATTTATTAAGCAAATTGTGCATTTTATTTCCCGATTTCCAACACAAACATGTCGCTACACTTTGCAGATGAAAAGACGCATTTCAAGAACGGTTTTATCAGTGTGGGAGTTGTGGAGATTATTAAATGTTACCCAGATTACATATCGATTTCAGTTAGACAACCATTGAGAACCTGGAAGCACTGAAAAACCATGTCACCTGAGTATGGAATTACTCTACATTTCTCATTCACCACTCACCACTTGAATCGAACACATAGACACTTATCTCACGCATCGATGCGAACACTTTTGACTACTGAGCCGAAACCCTAGATTAATACCACAATGAAGTCACATGGTCGAGATTCGATTCTGACTAACATTGAATTGTTTGTCATTTAGATGTGTGTTCGTCAGATGTCAGTTCAATAATATCATCCAAATATAATTTTTCATTAGAATTTATGATTTTTAGAAACGTAAACAGACCTAAAGTTGCAACACGTTCACCGTAAATTATCGGGACATATTAGGTGTTTGGTATTATTTAATGAATTTTATAAACTTGATCTAATCACTTGAGTATTGATCCCTATCACATTTACGATACTATGAATCTTCACAGTGCCAAAGCTGTAGGACATACGACGTAAGTTATTTGAACATATTTTCGTAGTCCGTATAAATATCTGACGATTGTTAATTTGATCATGTCACATGAATTCAAATGTCTTATCACATGTTTGTTGTTAGTGTTGAGGATAATAATATGCTTTCATCACCTGTTACCTAGGTTGTTTGTTTTCGATCATTCTGACATTTGCTTTTCAATAGGAATTATCCTATTACTCATTATTGTACTCAGTTGTGCGGCTGAATTTTCCTACTAATCAAAACCTATTATTTTAGAATTATAACCTGATCGATGAATAACTGATGTGGAATATGAATACACTATTTTTATTCTTAAAATGTGATCCGATAGGACTTCATGAATGAGGTAACGTGATAAGAAATAATTGGGACCGGTTGTTATAACTCAATTCTCCTAGTTCATAATCGACCTAAAAAATTCAAATCGATTATTCCTTTTGATTTTAAGTGGATTTGAATGATATTATTTATGTTAAGTTCTCGGTATATTAGTTCGGTTCTTGTAGAGTAAAACAATCCATACATTGTTGATTAGTTGTTCCATCTTCTGACATCTAGTCGTTGTAACTTTTGACCAATTATTGATGATTGAGTAAAAATCAATTTGAAGAAATAAACTATACATTCGATCCTTCATCCAATAAAATGATACAGCTTGATCTACATTACATAATGATATTCAAATACCAATTTCTAATTAGATTTATGATTTTACTATTCTTGACAGCTCCAAACCTTCACCGTAAGTTGTTTGTAATAAACCGTCATACTGTTTTGTTTGATCCGTATTATGAAAGTTTTGAGATCACCCCTTTTAGACCAATAACATTGTTCAGTATTCAATGTTTACTAAGTATGGTATCACATTGAGGAAAAGCGAACTAAAAACAGATCAGACACTATTTTGTATGCACGTTCATTTTGTGTATATTTCAGTAGAGTAAAACTGATATCAATCACCGAAAATTGTTGTGTAGATCAACCATCTCACTAACCAATAATCTAAATCTGTTGTATGTTGATTGAAATTCATCAAAAGCTTTACATTATTGAATGATGAATCCTATGAACATATGAAAAATGAAGCTGATTGAAACAATCGTTTATTTACATAGGTTGAAAGTACATTGTTATATCTAGAGCTTTGGTTCTTACTATGCCGCGTACTACTAGACTACTTGAACGATAGAACCCGCAACGTCGCAAAGAGAAGACAAAATACTACAGAGGCATCATATTACTGTCAGTACAAGGAAAAGTTTTCAACAGAGTGTTGTTGAATCAGATGAACGACCCAGTAGACGCTCAGCCTCAATATTAACAGATCTGAATCCGTAAGGTTCGGTCGTGCACAGACCAAATCCCAACACTACGGATCATTGTTAAATAATCATTTGAATGGAATTCGTCACTATACATTACTTCCTTGACTATGGGAAAGCGTTTGACAGTGTGGATAAGATAAACTTATGGAACCTTCTTCGACAGTATAGAGTACGTGAGAAGACCGTCAATATAATACGGAATTCATACGACGGACTACAGTGCAAAGCCGTGTTGCATTTTAGGATCGCTCTTCTTTCCTTGTGCTTTTTAAGGCCCACTGATGCAGAGACTGCTGATTAACTAATTGTCTTCACCTGCATTTGTTCGTGTTTACGAGCCAGCTCATCGAAATGTCATTTCCCATTAAAAATTATGCTTCTCATAAACGTCAACAGACCTAAGGTTGCAACAAGTTCACCGTAAACTATCGGAACATATTAGGTATTATTATACGAATTTTATAAACTTGATCAAGTCACTTGAATATTGATACTTATCACATTTATTATGCTATCAATCTTCACAGTGCAAAAGCTGCAGCACCTAATACGTAAGTTATTTGAACATATTTTGGTAATCTGTATAAATATCTGACGATTGTCAATTTGATCATGACACCTGTATACGAATGTTTTTAATGATATCATTGGTGGGCGTATAACATAGGATGATATTCATGACAATTCTCTCCTTATTTGTTTTGAAAGACGCTTTGATGATCCTCGATCCATGAGGATCTGATCGAAATACTTGAGTGTGAATTAACTATCACGAATATGATGATCTTATTCCTAACAGTACTAAATCTCCAGCACCTACTACGTAAGTTATTTAAAAATGTTTTCATAGTGTGTATAAATATCTGACAATTGTCAATTCAATCACGACACCTGAAACATGTACTTAAACATGTACTCGTAGTGTGTATAAATATCTGACGTTTGGTAATTTGATCACAAAAACTGTATGCAAATGTCTCCGTAGGTTTCTGTAGATACAATTGACAAAGGCATCAAACCATTTCCATCTGTTATGTAATTTGTTTGTTGCGGATCATTCTGATTTCTTTATGTAAGTGGATTTGAATGATATTATTTATGTTAAGTTATCCATTCAGTGTTCAATGAATGTCAATTTTGTAAACTCAAAACTATCAATAGTAAAAACAATTTATTAAGCAAATTGTGCATTTTATTTCCCGATTTCCAACACAAACATGTCGCTACACTTTGCAGATGAAAAGACGCATTTCAAGAACGGTTTTATCAGTGTGGGAGTTGTGGAGATTATTAAATGTTACCCAGATTACATATCGATTTCAGTTAGACAACCATTGAGAACCTGGAAGCACTGAAAAACCATGTCACCTGAGTATGGAATTACTCTACATTTCTCATTCACCACTCACCACTTGAATCGAACACATAGACACTTATCTCACGCATCGATGCGAACACTTTTGACTACTGAGCCGAAACCCTAGATTAATACCACAATGAAGTCACATGGTCGAGATTCGATTCTGACTAACATTGAATTGTTTGTCATTTAGATGTGTGTTCGTCAGATGTCAGTTCAATAATATCATCCAAATATAATTTTTCATTAGAATTTATGATTTTTAGAAACGTAAACAGACCTAAAGTTGCAACACGTTCACCGTAAATTATCGGGACATATTAGGTGTTTGGTATTATTTAATGAATTTTATAAACTTGATCTAATCACTTGAGTATTGATCCCTATCACATTTACGATACTATGAATCTTCACAGTGCCAAAGCTGTAGGACATACGACGTAAGTTATTTGAACATATTTTCGTAGTCCGTATAAATATCTGACGATTGTTAATTTGATCATGTCACATGAATTCAAATGTCTTATCACATGTTTGTTGTTAGTGTTGAGGATAATAATATGCTTTCATCACCTGTTACCTAGGTTGTTTGTTTTCGATCATTCTGACATTTGCTTTTCAATAGGAATTATCCTATTACTCATTATTGTACTCAGTTGTGCGGCTGAATTTTCCTACTAATCAAAACCTATTATTTTAGAATTATAACCTGATCGATGAATAACTGATGTGGAATATGAATACACTATTTTTATTCTTAAAATGTGATCCGATAGGACTTCATGAATGAGGTAACGTGATAAGAAATAATTGGGACCGGTTGTTATAACTCAATTCTCCTAGTTCATAATCGACCTAAAAAATTCAAATCGATTATTCCTTTTGATTTTAAGTGGATTTGAATGATACTATTTATGTTAAGTTCTCGGTGTATTAGTTCGGTTCTTGTAGAGTAAAACGATCCATACATTGTTGATTATTTGTTCCATCTTCTGACATCTAGTCATTGTAACTTTTGACCAATTATTGATGATTGAGTAAAAATCAATTTGAAGTAATAAACTATACTTTCGATCCTTTATCCAATAAAATGATACAGCTTGATCTACATTACATAATGATATTCAAATACCAATTTCTAATTAGATTTATGATTTTACTATTCTTGACAGCTCCAAACCTTCACCGTAAGTTGTTTGTAATAAACCGTCATACTGTTTTGTTTGATCCGTATTATGAAAGTTTTGAGATCACCCCTTTTAGACCAATAACATTGTTCAGTATTCAATGTTTACTAAGTATGGTATCACATTGAGGAAAAGCGAACTAAAAACAGATCAGACACTATTTTGTATGCACGTTCATTTTGTGTATATTTCAGTAGAGTAAAACTGATATCAATCACCGAAAATTGTTGTGTAGATCAACCATCTCACTAACCAATAATCTAAATCTGTTGTATGTTGATTGAAATTCATCAAAAGCTTTACATTATTGAATGATGAATCCTATGAACATATGAAAAATGAAGCTGATTGAAACAATCGTTTATTTACATAGGTTGAAAGTACATTGTTATATCTAGAGCTTTGGTTCTTACTATGCCGCGTACTACTAGACTACTTGAACGATAGAACCCGCAACGTCGCAAAGAGAAGACAAAATACTACAGAGGCATCATATTACTGTCAGTACAAGGAAAAGTTTTCAACAGAGTGTTGTTGAATCAGATGAACGACCCAGTAGACGCTCAGCCTCAATATTAACAGATCTGAATCCGTAAGGTTCGGTCGTGCACAGACCAAATCCCAACACTACGGATCATTGTTAAATAATCATTTGAATGGAATTCGTCACTATACATTACTTCCTTGACTATGGGAAAGCGTTTGACAGTGTGGATAAGATAAACTTATGGAACCTTCTTCGACAGTATAGAGTACGTGAGAAGACCGTCAATATAATACGGAATTCATACGACGGACTACAGTGCAAAGCCGTGTTGCATTTTAGGATCGCTCTTCTTTCCTTGTGCTTTTTAAGGCCCACTGATGCAGAGACTGCTGATTAACTAATTGTCTTCACCTGCATTTGTTCGTGTTTACGAGCCAGCTCATCGAAATGTCATTTCCCATTAAAAATTATGCTTCTCATAAACGTCAACAGACCTAAGGTTGCAACAAGTTCACCGTAAACTATCGGAACATATTAGGTATTATTATACGAATTTTATAAACTTGATCAAGTCACTTGAATATTGATACTTATCACATTTATTATGCTATCAATCTTCACAGTGCAAAAGCTGCAGCACCTAATACGTAAGTTATTTGAACATATTTTGGTAATCTGTATAAATATCTGACGATTGTCAATTTGATCATGACACCTGTATACGAATGTTTTTAATGATATCATTGGTGGGCGTATAACATAGGATGATATTCATGACAATTCTCTCCTTATTTGTTTTGAAAGACGCTTTGATGATCCTCGATCCATGAGGATCTGATCGAAATACTTGAGTGTGAATTAACTATCACGAATATGATGATCTTATTCCTAACAGTACTAAATCTCCAGCACCTACTACGTAAGTTATTTAAACATGTTTTCGTAGTGTGTATAAATATCTGACGTTTGGTAATTTGATCACAAAAACTGTATGCAAATGTCTCCGTAGGTTTCTGTAGATACAATTGACAAAGGCATCAAACCATTTCCATCTGTTATGTAATTTGTTTGTTGCGGATCATTCTGATTTCTTTATGTAAGTGGATTTGAATGATATTATTTATGTTAAGTTATCCATTCAGTGTTCAATGAATGTCAATTTTGTAAACTCAAAACTATCAATAGTAAAAACAATTTATTAAGCAAATTGTGCATTTTATTTCCCGATTTCCAACACAAACATGTCGCTACACTTTGCAGATGAAAAGACGCATTTCAAGAACGGTTTTATCAGTGTGGGAGTTGTGGAGATTATTAAATGTTACCCAGATTACATATCGATTTCAGTTAGACAACCATTGAGAACCTGGAAGCACTGAAAAACCATGTCACCTGAGTATGGAATTACTCTACATTTCTCATTCACCACTCACCACTTGAATCGAACACATAGACACTTATCTCACGCATCGATGCGAACACTTTTGACTACTGAGCCGAAACCCTAGATTAATACCACAATGAAGTCACATGGTCGAGATTCGATTCTGACTAACATTGAATTGTTTGTCATTTAGATGTGTGTTCGTCAGATGTCAGTTCAATAATATCATCCAAATATAATTTTTCATTAGAATTTATGATTTTTAGAAACGTAAACAGACCTAAAGTTGCAACACGTTCACCGTAAATTATCGGGACATATTAGGTGTTTGGTATTATTTAATGAATTTTATAAACTTGATCTAATCACTTGAGTATTGATCCCTATCACATTTACGATACTATGAATCTTCACAGTGCCAAAGCTGTAGGACATACGACGTAAGTTATTTGAACATATTTTCGTAGTCCGTATAAATATCTGACGATTGTTAATTTGATCATGTCACATGAATTCAAATGTCTTATCACATGTTTGTTGTTAGTGTTGAGGATAATAATATGCTTTCATCACCTGTTACCTAGGTTGTTTGTTTTCGATCATTCTGACATTTGCTTTTCAATAGGAATTATCCTATTACTCATTATTGTACTCAGTTGTGCGGCTGAATTTTCCTACTAATCAAAACCTATTATTTTAGAATTATAACCTGATCGATGAATAACTGATGTGGAATATGAATACACTATTTTTATTCTTAAAATGTGATCCGATAGGACTTCATGAATGAGGTAACGTGATAAGAAATAATTGGGACCGGTTGTTATAACTCAATTCTCCTAGTTCATAATCGACCTAAAAAATTCAAATCGATTATTCCTTTTGATTTTAAGTGGATTTGAATGATACTATTTATGTTAAGTTCTCGGTGTATTAGTTCGGTTCTTGTAGAGTAAAACGATCCATACATTGTTGATTATTTGTTCCATCTTCTGACATCTAGTCATTGTAACTTTTGACCAATTATTGATGATTGAGTAAAAATCAATTTGAAGTAATAAACTATACTTTCGATCCTTTATCCAATAAAATGATACAGCTTGATCTACATTACATAATGATATTCAAATACCAATTTCTAATTAGATTTATGATTTTACTATTCTTGACAGCTCCAAACCTTCACCGTAAGTTGTTTGTAATAAACCGTCATACTGTTTTGTTTGATCCGTATTATGAAAGTTTTGAGATCACCCCTTTTAGACCAATAACATTGTTCAGTATTCAATGTTTACTAAGTATGGTATCACATTGAGGAAAAGCGAACTAAAAACAGATCAGACACTATTTTGTATGCACGTTCATTTTGTGTATATTTCAGTAGAGTAAAACTGATATCAATCACCGAAAATTGTTGTGTAGATCAACCATCTCACTAACCAATAATCTAAATCTGTTGTATGTTGATTGAAATTCATCAAAAGCTTTACATTATTGAATGATGAATCCTATGAACATATGAAAAATGAAGCTGATTGAAACAATCGTTTATTTACATAGGTTGAAAGTACATTGTTATATCTAGAGCTTTGGTTCTTACTATGCCGCGTACTACTAGACTACTTGAACGATAGAACCCGCAACGTCGCAAAGAGAAGACAAAATACTACAGAGGCATCATATTACTGTCAGTACAAGGAAAAGTTTTCAACAGAGTGTTGTTGAATCAGATGAACGACCCAGTAGACGCTCAGCCTCAATATTAACAGATCTGAATCCGTAAGGTTCGGTCGTGCACAGACCAAATCCCAACACTACGGATCATTGTTAAATAATCATTTGAATGGAATTCGTCACTATACATTACTTCCTTGACTATGGGAAAGCGTTTGACAGTGTGGATAAGATAAACTTATGGAACCTTCTTCGACAGTATAGAGTACGTGAGAAGACCGTCAATATAATACGGAATTCATACGACGGACTACAGTGCAAAGCCGTGTTGCATTTTAGGATCGCTCTTCTTTCCTTGTGCTTTTTAAGGCCCACTGATGCAGAGACTGCTGATTAACTAATTGTCTTCACCTGCATTTGTTCGTGTTTACGAGCCAGCTCATCGAAATGTCATTTCCCATTAAAAATTATGCTTCTCATAAACGTCAACAGACCTAAGGTTGCAACAAGTTCACCGTAAACTATCGGAACATATTAGGTATTATTATACGAATTTTATAAACTTGATCAAGTCACTTGAATATTGATACTTATCACATTTATTATGCTATCAATCTTCACAGTGCAAAAGCTGCAGCACCTAATACGTAAGTTATTTGAACATATTTTGGTAATCTGTATAAATATCTGACGATTGTCAATTTGATCATGACACCTGTATACGAATGTTTTTAATGATATCATTGGTGGGCGTATAACATAGGATGATATTCATGACAATTCTCTCCTTATTTGTTTTGAAAGACGCTTTGATGATCCTCGATCCATGAGGATCTGATCGAAATACTTGAGTGTGAATTAACTATCACGAATATGATGATCTTATTCCTAACAGTACTAAATCTCCAGCACCTACTACGTAAGTTATTTAAACATGTTTTCGTAGTGTGTATAAATATCTGACGTTTGGTAATTTGATCACAAAAACTGTATGCAAATGTCTCCGTAGGTTTCTGTAGATACAATTGACAAAGGCATCAAACCATTTCCATCTGTTATGTAATTTGTTTGTTGCGGATCATTCTGATTTCTTTATGTAAGTGGATTTGAATGATATTATTTATGTTAAGTTATCCATTCAGTGTTCAATGAATGTCAATTTTGTAAACTCAAAACTATCAATAGTAAAAACAATTTATTAAGCAAATTGTGCATTTTATTTCCCGATTTCCAACACAAACATGTCGCTACACTTTGCAGATGAAAAGACGCATTTCAAGAACGGTTTTATCAGTGTGGGAGTTGTGGAGATTATTAAATGTTACCCAGATTACATATCGATTTCAGTTAGACAACCATTGAGAACCTGGAAGCACTGAAAAACCATGTCACCTGAGTATGGAATTACTCTACATTTCTCATTCACCACTCACCACTTGAATCGAACACATAGACACTTATCTCACGCATCGATGCGAACACTTTTGACTACTGAGCCGAAACCCTAGATTAATACCACAATGAAGTCACATGGTCGAGATTCGATTCTGACTAACATTGAATTGTTTGTCATTTAGATGTGTGTTCGTCAGATGTCAGTTCAATAATATCATCCAAATATAATTTTTCATTAGAATTTATGATTTTTAGAAACGTAAACAGACCTAAAGTTGCAACACGTTCACCGTAAATTATCGGGACATATTAGGTGTTTGGTATTATTTAATGAATTTTATAAACTTGATCTAATCACTTGAGTATTGATCCCTATCACATTTACGATACTATGAATCTTCACAGTGCCAAAGCTGTAGGACATACGACGTAAGTTATTTGAACATATTTTCGTAGTCCGTATAAATATCTGACGATTGTTAATTTGATCATGTCACATGAATTCAAATGTCTTATCACATGTTTGTTGTTAGTGTTGAGGATAATAATATGCTTTCATCACCTGTTACCTAGGTTGTTTGTTTTCGATCATTCTGACATTTGCTTTTCAATAGGAATTATCCTATTACTCATTATTGTACTCAGTTGTGCGGCTGAATTTTCCTACTAATCAAAACCTATTATTTTAGAATTATAACCTGATCGATGAATAACTGATGTGGAATATGAATACACTATTTTTATTCTTAAAATGTGATCCGATAGGACTTCATGAATGAGGTAACGTGATAAGAAATAATTGGGACCGGTTGTTATAACTCAATTCTCCTAGTTCATAATCGACCTAAAAAATTCAAATCGATTATTCCTTTTGATTTTAAGTGGATTTGAATGATACTATTTATGTTAAGTTCTCGGTGTATTAGTTCGGTTCTTGTAGAGTAAAACGATCCATACATTGTTGATTATTTGTTCCATCTTCTGACATCTAGTCATTGTAACTTTTGACCAATTATTGATGATTGAGTAAAAATCAATTTGAAGTAATAAACTATACTTTCGATCCTTTATCCAATAAAATGATACAGCTTGATCTACATTACATAATGATATTCAAATACCAATTTCTAATTAGATTTATGATTTTACTATTCTTGACAGCTCCAAACCTTCACCGTAAGTTGTTTGTAATAAACCGTCATACTGTTTTGTTTGATCCGTATTATGAAAGTTTTGAGATCACCCCTTTTAGACCAATAACATTGTTCAGTATTCAATGTTTACTAAGTATGGTATCACATTGAGGAAAAGCGAACTAAAAACAGATCAGACACTATTTTGTATGCACGTTCATTTTGTGTATATTTCAGTAGAGTAAAACTGATATCAATCACCGAAAATTGTTGTGTAGATCAACCATCTCACTAACCAATAATCTAAATCTGTTGTATGTTGATTGAAATTCATCAAAAGCTTTACATTATTGAATGATGAATCCTATGAACATATGAAAAATGAAGCTGATTGAAACAATCGTTTATTTACATAGGTTGAAAGTACATTGTTATATCTAGAGCTTTGGTTCTTACTATGCCGCGTACTACTAGACTACTTGAACGATAGAACCCGCAACGTCGCAAAGAGAAGACAAAATACTACAGAGGTATCATATTACTGTCAGTACAAGGAAAAGTTTTCAACAAAGTGTTGTTGAATCAGATGAACGACCCAGTAGACGCTCAGCCTCAATATTAACAGATCTGAATCCGTAAGGTTCGGTCGTGCACAGACCAAATCCCAACACTACGGATCATTGTTGAATAATCATTTGAATGGAATTCGTCACTATACATTACTTCCTTGACTATGGGAAAGCGTTTGACAGTGTGGATAAGATAAACTTATGGAACCTTCTTCGACAGTATAGAGTACGTGAGAAGATCGTCAATATAATACGGAATTCATACGACGGACTACAGAGCAAAGCCGTGTGTGGATGACAGCTGACAGGTACATTTCGAGTGAGGACAGAAACCGGACTAGGCTGCTTATTTCCATCTTTCTTCTGGTGGTCGACCAGATCATGAAGACCTCCATATCTGAGAGATAACACGTGATACAGTGGATAGCTCAGAATCAATTAGAGTATTTGAACTTCGCAGATGACATGGCTCTTTTATCCCATACACACGAAGAAATACAGATGAAGACAATTAGTGTAGCTGCAGTCTCTGTATCAGTAGGCCTCAACATGCATAATGGAAGAAGCACGATTCGCAATCACAACATGGACAACAACTCAATTATACTTGATGTGGAAGATCTGGAAGATGTGGAATCTTTCACCTACCTGGACAGCAGCATCATCGATGAACAAGATGGATCCGACGTAGACGTGGAGGCGAGGAATGGTAAAGCAAGGACAGCATTCCTACAATTGACGAACATATGCAACTGAAAACAAATTTCAAACAATATCAAAGTCACTATATTCAATACGAAAGTCAAGACAGTTCTAATATGTGGAGCTGAAACATAGAGAACTACTACATTCATCATCGAAATTGTACAAGTATTTATAAATAGTTTTATACGCAAAATACTCAATATCCTTAACCGGATACCATCACCAACAGCCTACTGTGGGAGAGGACAAACCAGATTCCAGCTGAGAAAATAATTAGGAAAAGACGATGGAAGTGGATAGGACATACATTGTGGAAATAACTAAACTGCATCACGAGGCAAGCCCTTACTTGGAGTCATTTAGGGAAGCGGAAAGGAGGAAAGCCAAAAAAACATTGCGCTGGGAGATAGAAGTAGATATGGAGAGGATGAATAACAACTGGAAAGAAGTGGAAGTGATTTCCTAGGACAGGGTTGGATGGAGAATGCTGGTGAGCGGCCTACGCTCCTCCACGAGCAGTAACAGGCACAAGTTAGTAAGTAAGTATATACTTCATGCTTCGATAAACCACTTAAAATATTGTCACTCGTAATTACAATCAGAAGTGAATAGCTTTCTCGAGGTTATCAAAAAATAAACCTCGTATGAATATATACCACTGGTTATCCATTCAGTGTTCAATGAATGTCAATTTTGTAAACTCAAGACTATCAATAGTAAAAACAATTTATTAAGCAAATTGTGCATTTTATTTCCCGATTTCCAACACAAACATGTCGCTACACTTTGCAGATGAAAAGACGCATTTCAAGAACGGTTTTATCAGTGTGGGAGTTGTGGAGATTATTAAATGTTACCCAGATTACATATCGATTTCAGTTAGACAACCATTGAGAACCTGGAAGCACTGAAAAACCATGTCACCTGAGTATGGAATTACTCTACATTTCTCATTCACCACTCACCACTTGAATCGAACACATAGACACTTATCTCACGCATCGATGCGAACACTTTTGACTACTGAGCCGAAACCCTAGATTAATACCACAATGAAGTCACATGGTCGAGATTCGATTCTGACTAACATTGAATTGTTTGTCATTTAGATGTGTGTTCGTCAGATGTCAGTTCAATAATATCATCCAAATATAATTTTTCATTAGAATTTATGATTTTTAGAAACGTAAACAGACCTAAAGTTGCAACACGTTCACCGTAAATTATCGGGACATATTAGGTGTTTGGTATCATTAGGTGAATTTCGCAAACCTGATCTAATCACTTGAGTATTGTTCCCTTATCACATTTATTATGCTGTTATGCAATCTCAACAGTTCTAAACCTACAGGAAGTTCTACGTGAGTTATTTGAACATATTTTGGTATTCCGTATAAATATCTGACAATTGTCAATTCAATCACGACACCTGAATACCAATGTTTCCACTGATATCATTAGCGAACGTATAACACAGGATGACATGCATGATCAAAGGAAGCTTTGATGATCCTCGATCCATGAGGATCTCGTAATACAAGCACCTTTCATGCTTCTTTGCACATCATCAGTGCAACTGCATGCGTGTTGAAGACATCTTATTTCTCATGACTAGAGTAAACGAGGACACCTCCTGAAGATGATCTTTATTGATTAGTTTGCTTTCAATGTGCTTCACAAATGTCAACTACTGTCAGTTTGTATCTCCCAAATTCCATAGATACTTGAGTAATCTATCAGATCGCCCGCATTGTGCATAATTTCCATGTACCTATGATAAGTCAGAAGAGCTATCAACCTGATGATTTCTGAAGACTCGTAGCTTACAAAATTAAGCATTGTTTGTTTTCGATCATTCTGACATTTGCTTTTCAATAGGAATTATCCTATTACTCATTATTGTACTCAGTTGTGCGGCTGAATTTTCCTACTAATCAAAACCTATTATTTTAGAATTATAACCTGATCGATGAATAACTGATGTGGAATATGAATACACTATTTTTATTCTTAAAATGTGATCCGATAGGACTTCATGAATGAGGTAACGTGATAAGAAATAATTGGGACCGGTTGTTATAACTCAATTCTCCTAGTTCATAATCGACCTAAAAATTCAAATCGATTATTCCTTTTGATTTTAAGTGGATTTGAATGATATTATTTATGTTAAGTTCTCGGTATATTAGTTCGGTTCTTGTAGAGTAAAACAATCCATACATTGTTGATTAGTTGTTCCATCTTCTGACATCTAGTCGTTGTAACTTTTGACCAATTATTGATGATTGAGTAAAAATCAATTTGAAGAAATAAACTATACTTTCGATCCTTTATCCAATAAAATGATACAGCTTGATCTACATTACATAATGATATTCAAATACCAATTTCTAATTAGATTTATGATTTTACTATTCTTGACAGCTCCAAACCTTCACCGTAAGTTGTTTGTAATAAACCGTCATACTGTTTTGTTTGATCCGTATTATGAAAGTTTTGAGATCACCCCTTTTAGACCAATAACATTGTTCAGTATTCAATGTTTACTAAGTATGGTATCACATTGAGGAAAAGCGAACTAAAAACAGATCAGACACTATTTTGTATGCACGTTCATTTTGTGTATATTTCAGTAGAGTAAAACTGATATCAATCACCGAAAATTGTTGTGTAGATCAACCATCTCACTAACCAATAATCTAAATCTGTTGTATGTTGATTGAAATTCATCAAAAGCTTTACATTATTGAATGATGAATCCTATGAACATATGAAAAATGAAGCTGATTGAAACAATCGTTTATTTACATAGGTTGAAAGTACATTGTTATATCTAGAGCTTTGGTTCTTACTATGCCGCGTACTACTAGACTACTTGAACGATAGAACCCGCAACGTCGCAAAGAGAAGACAAAATACTACAGAGGCATCATATTACTGTCAGTACAAGGAAAAGTTTTCAACAGAGTGTTGTTGAATCAGATGAACGACCCAGTAGACGCTCAGCCTCAATATTAACAGATCTGAATCCGTAAGGTTCGGTCGTGCACAGACCAAATCCCAACACTACGGATCATTGTTAAATAATCATTTGAATGGAATTCGTCACTATACATTACTTCCTTGACTATGGGAAAGCGTTTGACAGTGTGGATAAGATAAACTTATGGAACCTTCTTCGACAGTATAGAGTACGTGAGAAGACCGTCAATATAATACGGAATTCATACGACGGACTACAGTGCAAAGCCGTGTTGCATTTTAGGATCGCTCTTCTTTCCTTGTGCTTTTTAAGGCCCACTGATGCAGAGACTGCTGATTAACTAATTGTCTTCACCTGCATTTGTTCGTGTTTACGAGCCAGCTCATCGAAATGTCATTTCCCATTAAAAATTATGCTTCTCATAAACGTCAACAGACCTAAGGTTGCAACAAGTTCACCGTAAACTATCGGAACATATTAGGTATTATTATACGAATTTTATAAACTTGATCAAGTCACTTGAATATTGATACTTATCACATTTATTATGCTATCAATCTTCACAGTGCAAAAGCTGCAGCACCTAATACGTAAGTTATTTGAACATATTTTGGTAATCTGTATAAATATCTGACGATTGTCAATTTGATCATGACACCTGTATACGAATGTTTTTAATGATATCATTGGTGGGCGTATAACATAGGATGATATTCATGACAATTCTCTCCTTATTTGTTTTGAAAGACGCTTTGATGATCCTCGATCCATGAGGATCTGATCGAAATACTTGAGTGTGAATTAACTATCACGAATATGATGATCTTATTCCTAACAGTACTAAATCTCCAGCACCTACTACGTAAGTTATTTAAAAATGTTTTCATAGTGTGTATAAATATCTGACAATTGTCAATTCAATCACGACACCTGAAACATGTACTTAAACATGTACTCGTAGTGTGTATAAATATCTGACGTTTGGTAATTTGATCACAAAAACTGTATGCAAATGTCTCCGTAGGTTTCTGTAGATACAATTGACAAAGGCATCAAACCATTTCCATCTGTTATGTAATTTGTTTGTTGCGGATCATTCTGATTTCTTTATGTAAGTGGATTTGAATGATATTATTTATGTTAAGTTATCCATTCAGTGTTCAATGAATGTCAATTTTGTAAACTCAAAACTATCAATAGTAAAAACAATTTATTAAGCAAATTGTGCATTTTATTTCCCGATTTCCAACACAAACATGTCGCTACACTTTGCAGATGAAAAGACGCATTTCAAGAACGGTTTTATCAGTGTGGGAGTTGTGGAGATTATTAAATGTTACCCAGATTACATATCGATTTCAGTTAGACAACCATTGAGAACCTGGAAGCACTGAAAAACCATGTCACCTGAGTATGGAATTACTCTACATTTCTCATTCACCACTCACCACTTGAATCGAACACATAGACACTTATCTCACGCATCGATGCGAACACTTTTGACTACTGAGCCGAAACCCTAGATTAATACCACAATGAAGTCACATGGTCGAGATTCGATTCTGACTAACATTGAATTGTTTGTCATTTAGATGTGTGTTCGTCAGATGTCAGTTCAATAATATCATCCAAATATAATTTTTCATTAGAATTTATGATTTTTAGAAACGTAAACAGACCTAAAGTTGCAACACGTTCACCGTAAATTATCGGGACATATTAGGTGTTTGGTATTATTTAATGAATTTTATAAACTTGATCTAATCACTTGAGTATTGATCCCTATCACATTTACGATACTATGAATCTTCACAGTGCCAAAGCTGTAGGACATACGACGTAAGTTATTTGAACATATTTTCGTAGTCCGTATAAATATCTGACGATTGTTAATTTGATCATGTCACATGAATTCAAATGTCTTATCACATGTTTGTTGTTAGTGTTGAGGATAATAATATGCTTTCATCACCTGTTACCTAGGTTGTTTGTTTTCGATCATTCTGACATTTGCTTTTCAATAGGAATTATCCTATTACTCATTATTGTACTCAGTTGTGCGGCTGAATTTTCCTACTAATCAAAACCTATTATTTTAGAATTATAACCTGATCGATGAATAACTGATGTGGAATATGAATACACTATTTTTATTCTTAAAATGTGATCCGATAGGACTTCATGAATGAGGTAACGTGATAAGAAATAATTGGGACCGGTTGTTATAACTCAATTCTCCTAGTTCATAATCGACCTAAAAAATTCAAATCGATTATTCCTTTTGATTTTAAGTGGATTTGAATGATACTATTTATGTTAAGTTCTCGGTGTATTAGTTCGGTTCTTGTAGAGTAAAACGATCCATACATTGTTGATTATTTGTTCCATCTTCTGACATCTAGTCATTGTAACTTTTGACCAATTATTGATGATTGAGTAAAAATCAATTTGAAGTAATAAACTATACTTTCGATCCTTTATCCAATAAAATGATACAGCTTGATCTACATTACATAATGATATTCAAATACCAATTTCTAATTAGATTTATGATTTTACTATTCTTGACAGCTCCAAACCTTCACCGTAAGTTGTTTGTAATAAACCGTCATACTGTTTTGTTTGATCCGTATTATGAAAGTTTTGAGATCACCCCTTTTAGACCAATAACATTGTTCAGTATTCAATGTTTACTAAGTATGGTATCACATTGAGGAAAAGCGAACTAAAAACAGATCAGACACTATTTTGTATGCACGTTCATTTTGTGTATATTTCAGTAGAGTAAAACTGATATCAATCACCGAAAATTGTTGTGTAGATCAACCATCTCACTAACCAATAATCTAAATCTGTTGTATGTTGATTGAAATTCATCAAAAGCTTTACATTATTGAATGATGAATCCTATGAACATATGAAAAATGAAGCTGATTGAAACAATCGTTTATTTACATAGGTTGAAAGTACATTGTTATATCTAGAGCTTTGGTTCTTACTATGCCGCGTACTACTAGACTACTTGAACGATAGAACCCGCAACGTCGCAAAGAGAAGACAAAATACTACAGAGGCATCATATTACTGTCAGTACAAGGAAAAGTTTTCAACAGAGTGTTGTTGAATCAGATGAACGACCCAGTAGACGCTCAGCCTCAATATTAACAGATCTGAATCCGTAAGGTTCGGTCGTGCACAGACCAAATCCCAACACTACGGATCATTGTTAAATAATCATTTGAATGGAATTCGTCACTATACATTACTTCCTTGACTATGGGAAAGCGTTTGACAGTGTGGATAAGATAAACTTATGGAACCTTCTTCGACAGTATAGAGTACGTGAGAAGACCGTCAATATAATACGGAATTCATACGACGGACTACAGTGCAAAGCCGTGTTGCATTTTAGGATCGCTCTTCTTTCCTTGTGCTTTTTAAGGCCCACTGATGCAGAGACTGCTGATTAACTAATTGTCTTCACCTGCATTTGTTCGTGTTTACGAGCCAGCTCATCGAAATGTCATTTCCCATTAAAAATTATGCTTCTCATAAACGTCAACAGACCTAAGGTTGCAACAAGTTCACCGTAAACTATCGGAACATATTAGGTATTATTATACGAATTTTATAAACTTGATCAAGTCACTTGAATATTGATACTTATCACATTTATTATGCTATCAATCTTCACAGTGCAAAAGCTGCAGCACCTAATACGTAAGTTATTTGAACATATTTTGGTAATCTGTATAAATATCTGACGATTGTCAATTTGATCATGACACCTGTATACGAATGTTTTTAATGATATCATTGGTGGGCGTATAACATAGGATGATATTCATGACAATTCTCTCCTTATTTGTTTTGAAAGACGCTTTGATGATCCTCGATCCATGAGGATCTGATCGAAATACTTGAGTGTGAATTAACTATCACGAATATGATGATCTTATTCCTAACAGTACTAAATCTCCAGCACCTACTACGTAAGTTATTTAAACATGTTTTCGTAGTGTGTATAAATATCTGACGTTTGGTAATTTGATCACAAAAACTGTATGCAAATGTCTCCGTAGGTTTCTGTAGATACAATTGACAAAGGCATCAAACCATTTCCATCTGTTATGTAATTTGTTTGTTGCGGATCATTCTGATTTCTTTATGTAAGTGGATTTGAATGATATTATTTATGTTAAGTTATCCATTCAGTGTTCAATGAATGTCAATTTTGTAAACTCAAAACTATCAATAGTAAAAACAATTTATTAAGCAAATTGTGCATTTTATTTCCCGATTTCCAACACAAACATGTCGCTACACTTTGCAGATGAAAAGACGCATTTCAAGAACGGTTTTATCAGTGTGGGAGTTGTGGAGATTATTAAATGTTACCCAGATTACATATCGATTTCAGTTAGACAACCATTGAGAACCTGGAAGCACTGAAAAACCATGTCACCTGAGTATGGAATTACTCTACATTTCTCATTCACCACTCACCACTTGAATCGAACACATAGACACTTATCTCACGCATCGATGCGAACACTTTTGACTACTGAGCCGAAACCCTAGATTAATACCACAATGAAGTCACATGGTCGAGATTCGATTCTGACTAACATTGAATTGTTTGTCATTTAGATGTGTGTTCGTCAGATGTCAGTTCAATAATATCATCCAAATATAATTTTTCATTAGAATTTATGATTTTTAGAAACGTAAACAGACCTAAAGTTGCAACACGTTCACCGTAAATTATCGGGACATATTAGGTGTTTGGTATTATTTAATGAATTTTATAAACTTGATCTAATCACTTGAGTATTGATCCCTATCACATTTACGATACTATGAATCTTCACAGTGCCAAAGCTGTAGGACATACGACGTAAGTTATTTGAACATATTTTCGTAGTCCGTATAAATATCTGACGATTGTTAATTTGATCATGTCACATGAATTCAAATGTCTTATCACATGTTTGTTGTTAGTGTTGAGGATAATAATATGCTTTCATCACCTGTTACCTAGGTTGTTTGTTTTCGATCATTCTGACATTTGCTTTTCAATAGGAATTATCCTATTACTCATTATTGTACTCAGTTGTGCGGCTGAATTTTCCTACTAATCAAAACCTATTATTTTAGAATTATAACCTGATCGATGAATAACTGATGTGGAATATGAATACACTATTTTTATTCTTAAAATGTGATCCGATAGGACTTCATGAATGAGGTAACGTGATAAGAAATAATTGGGACCGGTTGTTATAACTCAATTCTCCTAGTTCATAATCGACCTAAAAAATTCAAATCGATTATTCCTTTTGATTTTAAGTGGATTTGAATGATACTATTTATGTTAAGTTCTCGGTGTATTAGTTCGGTTCTTGTAGAGTAAAACGATCCATACATTGTTGATTATTTGTTCCATCTTCTGACATCTAGTCATTGTAACTTTTGACCAATTATTGATGATTGAGTAAAAATCAATTTGAAGTAATAAACTATACTTTCGATCCTTTATCCAATAAAATGATACAGCTTGATCTACATTACATAATGATATTCAAATACCAATTTCTAATTAGATTTATGATTTTACTATTCTTGACAGCTCCAAACCTTCACCGTAAGTTGTTTGTAATAAACCGTCATACTGTTTTGTTTGATCCGTATTATGAAAGTTTTGAGATCACCCCTTTTAGACCAATAACATTGTTCAGTATTCAATGTTTACTAAGTATGGTATCACATTGAGGAAAAGCGAACTAAAAACAGATCAGACACTATTTTGTATGCACGTTCATTTTGTGTATATTTCAGTAGAGTAAAACTGATATCAATCACCGAAAATTGTTGTGTAGATCAACCATCTCACTAACCAATAATCTAAATCTGTTGTATGTTGATTGAAATTCATCAAAAGCTTTACATTATTGAATGATGAATCCTATGAACATATGAAAAATGAAGCTGATTGAAACAATCGTTTATTTACATAGGTTGAAAGTACATTGTTATATCTAGAGCTTTGGTTCTTACTATGCCGCGTACTACTAGACTACTTGAACGATAGAACCCGCAACGTCGCAAAGAGAAGACAAAATACTACAGAGGCATCATATTACTGTCAGTACAAGGAAAAGTTTTCAACAGAGTGTTGTTGAATCAGATGAACGACCCAGTAGACGCTCAGCCTCAATATTAACAGATCTGAATCCGTAAGGTTCGGTCGTGCACAGACCAAATCCCAACACTACGGATCATTGTTAAATAATCATTTGAATGGAATTCGTCACTATACATTACTTCCTTGACTATGGGAAAGCGTTTGACAGTGTGGATAAGATAAACTTATGGAACCTTCTTCGACAGTATAGAGTACGTGAGAAGACCGTCAATATAATACGGAATTCATACGACGGACTACAGTGCAAAGCCGTGTTGCATTTTAGGATCGCTCTTCTTTCCTTGTGCTTTTTAAGGCCCACTGATGCAGAGACTGCTGATTAACTAATTGTCTTCACCTGCATTTGTTCGTGTTTACGAGCCAGCTCATCGAAATGTCATTTCCCATTAAAAATTATGCTTCTCATAAACGTCAACAGACCTAAGGTTGCAACAAGTTCACCGTAAACTATCGGAACATATTAGGTATTATTATACGAATTTTATAAACTTGATCAAGTCACTTGAATATTGATACTTATCACATTTATTATGCTATCAATCTTCACAGTGCAAAAGCTGCAGCACCTAATACGTAAGTTATTTGAACATATTTTGGTAATCTGTATAAATATCTGACGATTGTCAATTTGATCATGACACCTGTATACGAATGTTTTTAATGATATCATTGGTGGGCGTATAACATAGGATGATATTCATGACAATTCTCTCCTTATTTGTTTTGAAAGACGCTTTGATGATCCTCGATCCATGAGGATCTGATCGAAATACTTGAGTGTGAATTAACTATCACGAATATGATGATCTTATTCCTAACAGTACTAAATCTCCAGCACCTACTACGTAAGTTATTTAAACATGTTTTCGTAGTGTGTATAAATATCTGACGTTTGGTAATTTGATCACAAAAACTGTATGCAAATGTCTCCGTAGGTTTCTGTAGATACAATTGACAAAGGCATCAAACCATTTCCATCTGTTATGTAATTTGTTTGTTGCGGATCATTCTGATTTCTTTATGTAAGTGGATTTGAATGATATTATTTATGTTAAGTTATCCATTCAGTGTTCAATGAATGTCAATTTTGTAAACTCAAAACTATCAATAGTAAAAACAATTTATTAAGCAAATTGTGCATTTTATTTCCCGATTTCCAACACAAACATGTCGCTACACTTTGCAGATGAAAAGACGCATTTCAAGAACGGTTTTATCAGTGTGGGAGTTGTGGAGATTATTAAATGTTACCCAGATTACATATCGATTTCAGTTAGACAACCATTGAGAACCTGGAAGCACTGAAAAACCATGTCACCTGAGTATGGAATTACTCTACATTTCTCATTCACCACTCACCACTTGAATCGAACACATAGACACTTATCTCACGCATCGATGCGAACACTTTTGACTACTGAGCCGAAACCCTAGATTAATACCACAATGAAGTCACATGGTCGAGATTCGATTCTGACTAACATTGAATTGTTTGTCATTTAGATGTGTGTTCGTCAGATGTCAGTTCAATAATATCATCCAAATATAATTTTTCATTAGAATTTATGATTTTTAGAAACGTAAACAGACCTAAAGTTGCAACACGTTCACCGTAAATTATCGGGACATATTAGGTGTTTGGTATTATTTAATGAATTTTATAAACTTGATCTAATCACTTGAGTATTGATCCCTATCACATTTACGATACTATGAATCTTCACAGTGCCAAAGCTGTAGGACATACGACGTAAGTTATTTGAACATATTTTCGTAGTCCGTATAAATATCTGACGATTGTTAATTTGATCATGTCACATGAATTCAAATGTCTTATCACATGTTTGTTGTTAGTGTTGAGGATAATAATATGCTTTCATCACCTGTTACCTAGGTTGTTTGTTTTCGATCATTCTGACATTTGCTTTTCAATAGGAATTATCCTATTACTCATTATTGTACTCAGTTGTGCGGCTGAATTTTCCTACTAATCAAAACCTATTATTTTAGAATTATAACCTGATCGATGAATAACTGATGTGGAATATGAATACACTATTTTTATTCTTAAAATGTGATCCGATAGGACTTCATGAATGAGGTAACGTGATAAGAAATAATTGGGACCGGTTGTTATAACTCAATTCTCCTAGTTCATAATCGACCTAAAAAATTCAAATCGATTATTCCTTTTGATTTTAAGTGGATTTGAATGATACTATTTATGTTAAGTTCTCGGTGTATTAGTTCGGTTCTTGTAGAGTAAAACGATCCATACATTGTTGATTATTTGTTCCATCTTCTGACATCTAGTCATTGTAACTTTTGACCAATTATTGATGATTGAGTAAAAATCAATTTGAAGTAATAAACTATACTTTCGATCCTTTATCCAATAAAATGATACAGCTTGATCTACATTACATAATGATATTCAAATACCAATTTCTAATTAGATTTATGATTTTACTATTCTTGACAGCTCCAAACCTTCACCGTAAGTTGTTTGTAATAAACCGTCATACTGTTTTGTTTGATCCGTATTATGAAAGTTTTGAGATCACCCCTTTTAGACCAATAACATTGTTCAGTATTCAATGTTTACTAAGTATGGTATCACATTGAGGAAAAGCGAACTAAAAACAGATCAGACACTATTTTGTATGCACGTTCATTTTGTGTATATTTCAGTAGAGTAAAACTGATATCAATCACCGAAAATTGTTGTGTAGATCAACCATCTCACTAACCAATAATCTAAATCTGTTGTATGTTGATTGAAATTCATCAAAAGCTTTACATTATTGAATGATGAATCCTATGAACATATGAAAAATGAAGCTGATTGAAACAATCGTTTATTTACATAGGTTGAAAGTACATTGTTATATCTAGAGCTTTGGTTCTTACTATGCCGCGTACTACTAGACTACTTGAACGATAGAACCCGCAACGTCGCAAAGAGAAGACAAAATACTACAGAGGTATCATATTACTGTCAGTACAAGGAAAAGTTTTCAACAAAGTGTTGTTGAATCAGATGAACGACCCAGTAGACGCTCAGCCTCAATATTAACAGATCTGAATCCGTAAGGTTCGGTCGTGCACAGACCAAATCCCAACACTACGGATCATTGTTGAATAATCATTTGAATGGAATTCGTCACTATACATTACTTCCTTGACTATGGGAAAGCGTTTGACAGTGTGGATAAGATAAACTTATGGAACCTTCTTCGACAGTATAGAGTACGTGAGAAGATCGTCAATATAATACGGAATTCATACGACGGACTACAGAGCAAAGCCGTGTGTGGATGACAGCTGACAGGTACATTTCGAGTGAGGACAGAAACCGGACTAGGCTGCTTATTTCCATCTTTCTTCTGGTGGTCGACCAGATCATGAAGACCTCCATATCTGAGAGATAACACGTGATACAGTGGATAGCTCAGAATCAATTAGAGTATTTGAACTTCGCAGATGACATGGCTCTTTTATCCCATACACACGAAGAAATACAGATGAAGACAATTAGTGTAGCTGCAGTCTCTGTATCAGTAGGCCTCAACATGCATAATGGAAGAAGCACGATTCGCAATCACAACATGGACAACAACTCAATTATACTTGATGTGGAAGATCTGGAAGATGTGGAATCTTTCACCTACCTGGACAGCAGCATCATCGATGAACAAGATGGATCCGACGTAGACGTGGAGGCGAGGAATGGTAAAGCAAGGACAGCATTCCTACAATTGACGAACATATGCAACTGAAAACAAATTTCAAACAATATCAAAGTCACTATATTCAATACGAAAGTCAAGACAGTTCTAATATGTGGAGCTGAAACATAGAGAACTACTACATTCATCATCGAAATTGTACAAGTATTTATAAATAGTTTTATACGCAAAATACTCAATATCCTTAACCGGATACCATCACCAACAGCCTACTGTGGGAGAGGACAAACCAGATTCCAGCTGAGAAAATAATTAGGAAAAGACGATGGAAGTGGATAGGACATACATTGTGGAAATAACTAAACTGCATCACGAGGCAAGCCCTTACTTGGAGTCATTTAGGGAAGCGGAAAGGAGGAAAGCCAAAAAAACATTGCGCTGGGAGATAGAAGTAGATATGGAGAGGATGAATAACAACTGGAAAGAAGTGGAAGTGATTTCCTAGGACAGGGTTGGATGGAGAATGCTGGTGAGCGGCCTACGCTCCTCCACGAGCAGTAACAGGCACAAGTTAGTAAGTAAGTATATACTTCATGCTTCGATAAACCACTTAAAATATTGTCACTCGTAATTACAATCAGAAGTGAATAGCTTTCTCGAGGTTATCAAAAAATAAACATCGTATGAATATATACCACTGGTTATCCATTCAGTGTTCAATGAATGTCAATTTTGTAAACTCAAGACTATCAATAGTAAAAACAATTTATTAAGCAAATTGTGCATTTTATTTCCCGATTTCCAACACAAACATGTCGCTACACTTTGCAGATGAAAAGACGCATTTCAAGAACGGTTTTATCAGTGTGGGAGTTGTGGAGATTATTAAATGTTACCCAGATTACATATCGATTTCAGTTAGACAACCATTGAGAACCTGGAAGCACTGAAAAACCATGTCACCTGAGTATGGAATTACTCTACATTTCTCATTCACCACTCACCACTTGAATCGAACACATAGACACTTATCTCACGCATCGATGCGAACACTTTTGACTACTGAGCCGAAACCCTAGATTAATACCACAATGAAGTCACATGGTCGAGATTCGATTCTGACTAACATTGAATTGTTTGTCATTTAGATGTGTGTTCGTCAGATGTCAGTTCAATAATATCATCCAAATATAATTTTTCATTAGAATTTATGATTTTTAGAAACGTAAACAGACCTAAAGTTGCAACACGTTCACCGTAAATTATCGGGACATATTAGGTGTTTGGTATCATTAGGTGAATTTCGCAAACCTGAGTATTGTTCCTTATCACATTTATTATGCTGTTATGCAATCTCAACAGTTCTAAACCTACAGGAAGTTCTACGTGAGTTATTTGAACATATTTTGGTATTCCGTATAAATATCTGACAATTGTCAATTCAATCACGACACCTGAATACCAATGTTTCCACTGATATCATTAGCGAACGTATAACACAGGATGACATGCATGATGATTCTCTCTTTATTTGTTTCAAAGGAAGCTTTGATGATCCTCGATCCATGAGGATCTCGTAATACAAGCACCTTTCATGCTTCTTTGCACATCATCAGTGCAACTGCATGCGTGTTGAAGACATCTTATTTCTCATGACTAGAGTAAACGAGGACACCTCCTGAAGATGATCTTTATTGATTAGTTTGCTTTCAATGTGCTTCACAAATGTCAACTACTGTCAGTTTGTATCTCCCAAATTCCATAGATACTTGAGTAATCTATCAGATCGCCCGCATTGTGCATAATTTCCATGTACCTATGATAATTGATGTCGTGGTTGTCAGAAGAGCTATCAACCTGATGATTTCTGAAGACTCGTAGCTTACAAAATTAAGCATTGTTTGTTTTCGATCATTCTGACATTTGCTTTTCAATAGGAATTATCCTATTACTCATTATTGTACTCAGTTGTGCGGCTGAATTTTCCTACTAATCAAAACCTATTATTTTAGAATTATAACCTGATCGATGAATAACTGATGTGGAATATGAATACACTATTTTTATTCTTAAAATGTGATCCGATAGGACTTCATGAATGAGGTAACGTGATAAGAAATAATTGGGACCGGTTGTTATAACTCAATTCTCCTAGTTCATAATCGACCTAAAAAATTCAAATCGATTATTCCTTTTGATTTTAAGTGGATTTGAATGATATTATTTATGTTAAGTTCTCGGTATATTAGTTCGGTTCTTGTAGAGTAAAACAATCCATACATTGTTGATTAGTTGTTCCATCTTCTGACATCTAGTCGTTGTAAGTTTTGACCAATTATTGATGATTGAGTAAAAATCAATTTGAAGTAATAAACTATACTTTCGATCCTTTATCCAATAAAATGATACAGCTTGATCTACATTACATAATGATATTCAAATACCAATTTCTAATTAGATTTATGATTTTACTATTCTTGACAGCTCCAAACCTTCACCGTAAGTTGTTTGTAATAAACCGTCATACTGTTTTGTTTGATCCGTATTATGAAAGTTTTGAGATCACCCCTTTTAGACCAATAACATTGTTCAGTATTCAATGTTTACTAAGTATGGTATCACATTGAGGAAAAGCGAACTAAAAACAGATCAGACACTATTTTGTATGCACGTTCATTTTGTGTATATTTCAGTAGAGTAAAACTGATATCAATCACCGAAAATTGTTGTGTAGATCAACCATCTCACTAACCAATAATCTAAATCTGTTGTATGTTGATTGAAATTCATCAAAAGCTTTACATTATTGAATGATGAATCCTATGAACATATGAAAAATGAAGCTGATTGAAACAATCGTTTATTTACATAGGTTGAAAGTACATTGTTATATCTAGAGCTTTGGTTCTTACTATGCCGCGTACTACTAGACTACTTGAACGATAGAACCCGCAACGTCGCAAAGAGAAGACAAAATACTACAGAGGCATCATATTACTGTCAGTACAAGGAAAAGTTTTCAACAGAGTGTTGTTGAATCAGATGAACGACCCAGTAGACGCTCAGCCTCAATATTAACAGATCTGAATCCGTAAGGTTCGGTCGTGCACAGACCAAATCCCAACACTACGGATCATTGTTGAATAATCATTTGAATGGAATTCGTCACTATACATTACTTCCTTGACTATGGGAAAGCGTTTGACAGTGTGGATAAGATAAACTTATGGAACCTTCTTCGACAGTATAGAGTACGTGAGAAGATCGTCAATATAATACGGAATTCATACGATGGACTACAGAGCAAAGCCGTGTGTGGAGGACAGCTGACAGGTACATTTCGAGTGAGGACAGAAACCAGACTAGGCTGCTTATTTCCATCTTTCTTCTGGTGGTCGACCAGATCATGAAGACCTCCATATCTGAGAGATAACACGTGATACAGTGGATAGCTCAGAATCAATTAGAGTATTTGAACTTCGCAGATGACATGGCTCTTTTATCCCATACACACGAAGAAATACAGATGAAGACAATTAGTGTAGCTGCAGTCTCTGTATCAGTAGGCCTCAACATGCATAATGGAAGAAGCACGATTCGCAATCACAACATGGACAACAACTCAATTATACTTGATGTGGAAGATCTGGAAGATGTGGAATCTTTCACCTACCTGGACAGCAGCATCATCGATGAACAAGATGGATCCGACGTAGACGTGGAGGCGAGGAATGGTAAAGCAAGGACAGCATTCCTACAATTGACGAACATATGCAACTGAAAACAAATTTCAAACAATATCAAAGTCACTATATTCAATACGAAAGTCAAGACAGTTCTAATATGTGGAGCTGAAACATAGAGAACTACTACATTCATCATCGAAATTGTACAAGTATTTATAAATAGTTTTATACGCAAAATACTCAATATCCTTAACCGGATACCATCACCAACAGCCTACTGTGGGAGAGGACAAACCAGATTCCAGCTGAGAAAATAATTAGGAAAAGACGATGGAAGTGGATAGGACATACATTGTGGAAATAACTAAACTGCATCACGAGGCAAGCCCTTACTTGGAGTCATTTAGGGAAGCGGAAAGGAGGAAAGCCAAAAAAACATTGCGCTGGGAGATAGAAGTAGATATGGAGAGGATGAATAACAACTGGAAAGAAGTGGAAGTGATTTCCTAGGACAGGGTTGGATGGAGAATGCTGGTGAGCGGCCTACGCTCCTCCACGAGCAGTAACAGGCACAAGTTAGTAAGTAAGTATATACTTCATGCTTCGATAAACCACTTAAAATATTGTCACTCGTAATTACAATCAGAAGTGAATAGCTTTCTCGAGGTTATCAAAAAATAAACATCGTATGAATATATACCACTGGTTATCCATTCAGTGTTCAATGAATGTCAATTTTGTAAACTCAAGACTATCAATAGTAAAAACAATTTATTAAGCAAATTGTGCATTTTATTTCCCGATTTCCAACACAAACATGTCGCTACACTTTGCAGATGAAAAGACGCATTTCAAGAACGGTTTTATCAGTGTGGGAGTTGTGGAGATTATTAAATGTTACCCAGATTACATATCGATTTCAGTTAGACAACCATTGAGAACCTGGAAGCACTGAAAAACCATGTCACCTGAGTATGGAATTACTCTACATTTCTCATTCACCACTCACCACTTGAATCGAACACATAGACACTTATCTCACGCATCGATGCGAACACTTTTGACTACTGAGCCGAAACCCTAGATTAATACCACAATGAAGTCACATGGTCGAGATTCGATTCTGACTAACATTGAATTGTTTGTCATTTAGATGTGTGTTCGTCAGATGTCAGTTCAATAATATCATCCAAATATAATTTTTCATTAGAATTTATGATTTTTAGAAACGTAAACAGACCTAAAGTTGCAACACGTTCACCGTAAATTATCGGGACATATTAGGTGTTTGGTATTATTTAATGAATTTTATAAACTTGATCTAATCACTTGAGTATTGATCCCTATCACATTTACGATACTATGAATCTTCACAGTGCCAAAGCTGTAGGACATACGACGTAAGTTATTTGAACATATTTTCGTAGTCCGTATAAATATCTGACGATTGTTAATTTGATCATGTCACATGAATTCAAATGTCTTATCACATGTTTGTTGTTAGTGTTGAGGATAATAATATGCTTTCATCACCTGTTACCTAGGTTGTTTGTTTTCGATCATTCTGACATTTGCTTTTCAATAGGAATTATCCTATTACTCATTATTGTACTCAGTTGTGCGGCTGAATTTTCCTACTAATCAAAACCTATTATTTTAGAATTATAACCTGATCGATGAATAACTGATGTGGAATATGAATACACTATTTTTATTCTTAAAATGTGATCCGATAGGACTTCATGAATGAGGTAACGTGATAAGAAATAATTGGGACCGGTTGTTATAACTCAATTCTCCTAGTTCATAATCGACCTAAAAAATTCAAATCGATTATTCCTTTTGATTTTAAGTGGATTTGAATGATACTATTTATGTTAAGTTCTCGGTATATTAGTTCGGTTCTTGTAGAGTAAAACGATCCATACATTGTTGATTATTTGTTCCATCTTCTGACATCTAGTCATTGTAACTTTTGACCAATTATTGATGATTGAGTAAAAATCAATTTGAAGTAATAAACTATACTTTCGATCCTTTATCCAATAAAATGATACAGCTTGATCTACATTACATAATGATATTCAAATACCAATTTCTAATTAGATTTATGATTTTACTATTCTTGACAGCTCCAAACCTTCACCGTAAGTTGTTTGTAATAAACCGTCATACTGTTTTGTTTGATCCGTATTATGAAAGTTTTGAGATCACCCCTTTTAGACCAATAACATTGTTCAGTATTCAATGTTTACTAAGTATGGTATCACATTGAGGAAAAGCGAACTAAAAACAGATCAGACACTATTTTGTATGCACGTTCATTTTGTGTATATTTCAGTAGAGTAAAACTGATATCAATCACCGAAAATTGTTGTGTAGATCAACCATCTCACTAACCAATAATCTAAATCTGTTGTATGTTGATTGAAATTCATCAAAAGCTTTACATTATTGAATGATGAATCCTATGAACATATGAAAAATGAAGCTGATTGAAACAATCGTTTATTTACATAGGTTGAAAGTACATTGTTATATCTAGAGCTTTGGTTCTTACTATGCCGCGTACTACTAGACTACTTGAACGATAGAACCCGCAACGTCGCAAAGAGAAGACAAAATACTACAGAGGCATCATATTACTGTCAGTACAAGGAAAAGTTTTCAACAGAGTGTTGTTGAATCAGATGAACGACCCAGTAGACGCTCAGCCTCAATATTAACAGATCTGAATCCGTAAGGTTCGGTCGTGCACAGACCAAATCCCAACACTACGGATCATTTTATATTTAAAATCATGAGTCAATTGAATAATCATTTGTTAAATAATCATTTGAATGGAATTCGTCACTATACATTACTTCCTTGACTATGGGAAAGCGTTTGACAGTGTGGATAAGATAAACTTATGGAACCTTCTTCGACAGTATAGAGTACGTGAGAAGACCGTCAATATAATACGGAATTCATACGACGGACTACAGTGTAAAGCGGTGTTGCATTCGATGATCTGGCTTCTTTCCTTGTGCTTTTTAAGGCCTACTGTTGCAGAGACTGCTGATGCACTAATTGTCTTTACCTGCATTTGTTCGTGTTTACGGTCCAGAAGAGCCAGCTCATCCAACTGTCATTTCCCATTTAAAATTATGCTTCTCATAAACGTCAACAGACCTAAGGTTGCAACAAGTTCACCGTAAACTATCGGAACATATTAGGTGTTTGGTATTATTATATGAATTTTATAAACTTGATCAAGTCACTTGAATATTGATACTTATCACATTTATTATGCTATCAATCTTCACAGTGCAAAAGCTGCAGCACCTAATACGTAAGTTATTTGAACATATTTTGGTAATCTGTATAAATATCTGACGATTGTCAATTTGATCATGACACCTGTATACGAATGTTTTTAATGATATCATTGGTGGGCGTATAACATAGGATGATATTCATGACGATTCTCTCCTTATTTGTTTTGAAAGACGCTTCGATGATCCTCGATCCATGTGAATCTCGTCACACAAAAGCCTTTCGTGCTTCCTTGCGCGTCATCAGTTCAACTCCATTTGTGTTGAATGCATTTTATTTCTCATGACCAGAGTAAAACATCATCTCTCACGAAGATAATCTTTATTGGTTAGCTTGCTTCCAATGTGCTTCAGAAATGCCATCTACTGTCAGTTTGTATCTTCCAAAATCTACAGACACTTGAATGATCTATCCGGTCTCCAACATCGTGCATACATCCATTCTACCTATGATAATTGTTGTCGTGGTTGTCAGAAGAGCTATTAACCTATTGATTTTTGAAAACTCAGAGCTTCCACCATTAAGCATGGTAACTCTTACGAATGCAGACTATTTGACTCGTGAGAGAGAGCTCGAATGGTTAAAGTGATAGTTTCTGGTAAGCGTTTGTTTAGGAAGGTTGTTTTGTACTAGATATTGTTACTAATACGATCCACAATTCTTCCTTCTCAATCGAGCATTTGACCGGGAACAACCTTAGAAGTGCTCGTTGTGGAGTTGTATGTATGTTTCACTGTTGTTGATCTGATCAAAATACTTGAGTGTGAATCAATAATCACGTAGATGATACTATTATTCTTAACAGTGTTAAACCCGCAGCACCCACTACGTAAGTTATTCGAATATATTTTCTTAATCTGTATAAATATCTGACGATTGTTAATTTGATCATGACACCTGAATTCAAATGTCTTATTACATGTTTGATGTAACTGTTGACGACAATGCTATACCTTAACCACCTGTTATCTAGGTTGTTTGTTTACGATCATCCTGACATTTGCTTTTCAGTAGGAAGCATCCTATATTTTATTATGGAAGTCAATTGTGCGGCTGAATTTTCCTACTAATCAAAACCTATTATTTTAGAATTAAAACCTGGTCGATGAATAACTGATGTGGAATATGAATTCACTATTTTTATTCTTAAAATGTGATCTCACAAGACTTCATGAATGACGTAATATCATAGGAAATAAATGGGTTCCATTGTCATAAGCCAAATCTATTTGTTCATATATGATTTCTCAACAGTATTGTGATAAGTCATGATTTTAAGTTAATGAAGGGAACAGTAAGTTTTCCAATTTTCTGGAGACTGTTGATTAGTCTTAATGAATTCGCTTTCCAATGCTTAGTAGCCTAAATCCTAAATTCGGAGGTTTCCTTTATTCTGCTTAATCCACCCGCATTAAAGTCACGTCAGTATAATCTGCTACTATAGTTGAATTGAACATAATTTGTTGGCAATATTTTGTTACTAACTGTTGAATATGTTGTTATTATTCCTTTTTTTTAATATCAGTAAGAAGTGAGTAATTTGTCGTTTCTCTTTCCCAAAGGTGTACTTTATTATCTAATGTAGATATTGGTTCTTGATTAAGATTTTTTTTACTTACATGATAATGAGCAGTATTGTAGTGAAAGAGAACACAAGTGGGAACAATCGAGTATTATTTGAACACCAAAATTACAGAAAATCTTAGTAAAATCTAAGAACTATAAAGTAAATACTTCGTTTACAAAATATCAGTCAATCATCTGAAACTTCATTGTTCTCTCGCTTTCACAGAAATCATTCTCTGTTCTCGTTCTCTTTCTTTCGATCTTTTTAACCTTCTGCCGCCTGACATTTTACTTCCGGTTAGTGGTACATACTACTTATTTAGTGAATGAGAACAATGGTGAGGACAACTGATTATGTATTTAGCAGAAATTACAAAGTTGCTTGATAAAATAGAAAAACCATACTCTGATGCTTCGTTTGCAAAATGTTCATTAATTGTCTCAGGCTTCATTGTTCATGGATTTCCACACCAGTTGCTTTTTGTTTCTGTTCTGCCCTTCTTGATCTTCTCAATCTTCTGTTGCCAGATATTCTATTCCTGAATTACGGTATATACTACTTATGTCGATATAAATAACCCACACCACACTTATATCTGTTGACATCAATAGCATACACCACAGTGTTTATTTGGATTGTAATTTGATTAGTTTGAAGATATTGATGGTAATATGAACTAAAATAACTGTGTCCATGTTATTCTTTACAAATGAAGATTAATTTTAATCACAGTGTTTTTATCCGCCCCTCTTTAATATGTGTTCACTGCAATTATACTATCAACTGACGTTAAATCAAATTGCAGTGAGATTTAATGAAGGATGGTGTATGTAGATTTAGAGAGTGGATTACTCACTGAAAACAGTCTTTGAATATTAGTCTACATTAAAATGGACTGAAATTTTGACTAAAGACAATTTAGCTTTAATGCACCAAGTAAATACATTATGACTTTTGCAAGACCTGAAACTTATGGGATATATTACATCATCTGTACTTACATACTGTCAGTATGTGTGAAATTACAGCTATTGTGAATTTGCAATAGAATTTTTTTTCTGTACATCATCAATGAATATCCGATTACTGTAAAAGTTACCCATTATTGATCTTTAATATTTCAATAAGCTTACTGTTACAGCAACATAGTTGAATACTTTAATATCAATAATAAAATTTAAGTAACCCTTCTATCGTTTAAGGAAGAAAATTCTTTTCAATTCCAAAGTCAGGGAATACATGAAAAAAACGGACATTTATTGAAGGTCAAATAAGTCCCTAAATGATCAATCGAGTTGGGAGTAACAGGCGTAAGTAAGTAAGTAAGTAATGAACGAACAAACAAACAGATATAGTTCAACCAACTACAGTTTTTGAATAAACGAAAAGTTGACAACACTCATTTTTTTACTTGCTTCTAGTATTAGAAAGTTTATCTTTGAACATATTTTATAAAGTTTGAATTTTATTTTGTGTAAGTGATTTTGTATGATCAAACTAAATGTACTATCACTGATTGTCCTTATTGTAGACCACATGATGAACGGTATGTTAAATGAAAGTTAGTTGTTGAATGATTTTATAACATGGATAAATCTCTGTGAACATTGCATGATAAAGAACTGTTTCATTTTTATAAACTGAACAATTGACTACTTTCTTTTGGACATCGATACTCATAAAGATCATTGTGTCTATACGAATGAATATTTCTAAATGTTTATGAGATTTGTATAATTGTAAAATGGTTGGATTATCGGCTTTCATAACCTATCAGTTCTATTTACGTCAAACCTCGATCCCAGATGAAAGATAATTGTCAACTGATTCGGCTTAATTAGTAGACGCCTGATATCATGCTGTTCAGAATTTTGAAATCAGGTTGTAAATATTATTGAATGTTGTCTGATTGTTTGCTTGTATCTTCCCATTGTTGTTCACGACTGCAATAAACCAGTCTCTTTCTGATATATGTACATTCTGGGCGGACTACCTCGATATTGCCTTAAGTCACAAGCATTATGAGCAAAGATGGATAGTGGCTAGCAGTGGAATCCAGTATGCGCGTTTTATCTTATTTATGGGACTCGTCAGCTCTATGTAACTTCATCTCAGAGCTGACATTCACTCCACGACTTGAACCCAGTACCGTTCGTTTCAAACGCCATTGCGTTATCCACTTAGCAAGGACGAAACGCGCGTCCTGAATTCCACCACTAGCCACCATCCATCGTTACCATTATTTATGTTATTGAATATCTCCCTCCTTGCTAAACTTGTTTGAAATTATTAAATCAAGTTTCAATAATAATGTGTACAAATAATAACAGTGTTAAAATCATTAGTATAATGAGAACAGTGTCAACTACTTGAAGAAATTGAGCTTAATTAATAATCTCAGTTATTTTAAACTACATTTAATTATCTTCAACATTAAGTGTTTGTTTTGATTAAAGTGCTGTGATGGCTGCGGCGGCTGCCCCGTAAGTTGGCCATGATCTATTTATGATTTAATTATTTGTCTCTACAGGTTGTGTGTAAATTTGAAAGTCATTATTTCAATAATTTTTCTGATGATTAGGGTTCGTTAGCAAGGTACTTTCTACGGGATACGGTTGTTAACCTCATGATCAACCGTACTTCTTAACCAAGGCTTAGTACTGGCAGTAACCGTAGAAGGGATTCAGGGGGAAGTTCTAAAATTCCTACAGAAAAAATATAAAAATTAAAGCATTCATCGTGTATACATTAAGTGATTTAAAAGTGACATTTTGTTGTATCTCTGATTTTACTGGGGTTTAGGGATATAATATTGTTATGAACCTAGAAACATGCATATGTGGTAAGCTTCACAAGCATCTAGCGTACTGTACGTAGCCGTTATCTATTAAGAAATAAAAATCAATGAACTAGATAAGCTGTAAGGATTAGATTTAGCAGTTAATAAGTAACAAAATATTGTGCATTCTATCAGTTAGATTAGTGAAAATATCGTACCAATTAGCAGTTAGCATTTCTGAAGGTGTTGCCATATTCAGTAGCAAACTTCAAATTTCAAATACTTCAAAAAGTAAAAAAGAAGTGTTATATACAATAAGATAGTTGTTATAACGCTAGGGTTTCTTGTTATAACAGTCATTTCACTTTTTACATGTTTGTGGGACGTTAATTTACCTTAGACTAATATCTACACTAGATTTCCCACCCAGTGTCTATTCTACAGGACTTCAACACAACTCAGATCAAGAACACGAGATAAGCCTGACTAGAACGTCAATATATTTCCACATCGAAATCCGACACAAAGAACAGTCAATCAATAACAGTCAGGATAGGGGAATATATATAACACATATAACACCTATCATCCTATCTAATGTCTGACTCAGCAAAACAACCAATCATTGTCATTCTCGCCCACAAATCAAGAAGCTAGAGTGAACACAATGTTACAAAAGATATTAACGAAATAATGAAGTAAAGGAGCTTGTGAGGAAATTCCATACTACTCTTAGTCAGGAATGCATAACAACAATAATATCATATATAAACTACCAAAATATTTCATACCTATTCTGACATCTTTTCATTGTATTTCTAATGAATAATCACAGTATCGTACTTGGAGTTATTGGGTAAGAAACAAAAATATTGCCTAATTAACCTTGTATTGGATGTTTGAACCTTCTCGTTAATGTTTGGTACAGCAATTGATCAGCCACTTTTAGCATCCTGTGCAGACTGCTTCAATATTCTCATTAAGTCACTTGCATTATAATCAGAGATGGATGGTGGTATGTAGTGTAATACAGGATACGCGTTTCGTCCTATTTTGGATTAGTCATCTGGATATAACTGCATCCCAGAGCTGGTGTGGGTTGCTTACATCCACATAAGTAGTATATGACGATGATCAGTCAGAGAATGTATTTCACTAGAAGATCGATAAGGAAAAAACAGAAACGAAACGCGATTGGTATAAAAATGCATGAACGATAATAATCAGAGACTATGGACTGATATTTATGGAAGGAACGGTCAAGATTGAGACAATTTATTGATAGTTTGCAAATTAACTATTTATTTTATGGTTGTCAGATTTTAGTGAGATAGTTTGTAATTTTTGTGTAAGATACATTTGATTGTCTCTCACTAGTTACCTTGTTCACTACACAACTACTGCAAACATTATCAGTACACTCTTGAAGGAATAGATGGAAATTCTAATAAACATTAGGTAGATTTACGGAAATAAGTATTTCTGAACCTTAAATACAAAATAAATGAATGTAAATACAGTTTACAGTACAGGGCATATAAGAATAGTGCTATTTTTATAAGGAAGTTATACACGGTAAATGAATAAAATTTACATTTATATGAACAGGGAAGTGATTGGTTTTATACTGTGAGTTCAGTTTTTATTGTATAATTTGTATAAAATACAATTTTAATTGGTTTCATTTAAAGAATAATATCATTTTATATAGTTAAGATCATGAGTCAATGGAAGCTAGATCACCGTGGAAAACCTGGAAGCACTGGAAGGCCGTTTCGTCCTATTGTGGGACTCCTCAGCAGTGCGCATCCATGATCCCGCCTCGTGGGATTCGAATCCGGTACCTATCTCCACAAAACCCCCTTGTGATAAAGAATAATATTTGGATGGTGTACAGAAATGTTGTACTTTATAATTTGACATGTGATTTTGATAACAATGATGAAGTAATTCACATTGAAATAAACCATTGAAATGGTAATATCAGTTCTAATGTTTTCTTATCAAACAAACATGTACTACTGATTCTTTTAGTCTTTTAATGAAACAATTATAATCATCTGTATATTGTTTGAGTTCTACGTATGGGATTGTAGATGTACACTGTTGAGTAGTCCTATACTAGGATGAAACGGCCGTTTAGTGCTTTCAAGTTTTTAATAGTGATCTAACATTGATCGGTTCATGATCTCAATTGACGTATAATTTTATTGTTACATGAGATTTTGACAACTTTCTTCTGCTGTGTAAAAGATAATCATCACGATATTGACTGTCCTTATTTCTTGAAGATATTTCAATTTTTAAGATCTTCTTTTTTCTCCTTTGGAACTTATTGTAGAAAATTATGGATCCTATTATATTTATCTGACTACAACTTGATGTTGTCTATTAAGTACCTTAACTTTGATGGTATGCAGTGACATGAAAAGTATAGATAGCTGATACTCTAATTAGAGATGGAAACAGAATTGAGTAGCTTCAATCTATAAATGCTTAAACATTTTGAAATCATGGTTGTCTTTTTTTAGTCAAACCATCATGTAGAAGTTTGTCAGATAAATTTTCTTAGATGAATAATCAATATTTAACTGATAATTTCTTATAAAGACTAATTACTTCATGCAAAGCTTTAGGAATAGAAACGCCATCACCATTAAGTTATCAGTTATTTGGTTAATTCGATACTAAATTAATTATTAATAAGGGGTTGTGGAGATTGTCAAGTTTTTGATTGAGATCATGAATCCATCAATAGTAGACCACCATCGGAAACCTGGGAGTATTGGATGATCATTTCATTCATGGTAAGAGACTCATCAACAGTACGCATCCACGATCTCTCACATGGGATTCGAACCCAGGACCTTCGGTCTTGTGTATTAACGCTTCATCTCTAAACCACTGAGCTGGCATCCATCTGTGTTATTGTTTAACTTTAACCAATCCACGATATTGTGTAACGGTCCTCCATTTTCTTCAGTGAGTAACTATCTCACAACAGACATGGATGAACTCCACTGGCCAATGCTTCTCACTTGAACTACAGGGAATATGTCTTGTTTAACGGTTATATTTTGACTTCATTACATAAATACTGTAACATTCAATATCGACTAACCATTTTTTATAAATGTTGAGAACCAAAGATAATTTCAGTCTTGTATAAATTGGATATTTAAAGTGTCATGTTACATAGGATGACTTTAAAACTACATGTCAATAATCATTTACAGTGTTTATAGACTGATTATAAAGGTCTAACAATTTGTTATAATTCTCTACATTTCGGAAAAATCCTCCAATATCAAGTTAAGTATTCTGAAGTAGTGTAGTTATTTAAATTCTAGTTCGCTCTTGTAGTGCCGTGCTTTGCGAATCGTTCAGCTCGATAACCGTTATAATACAAATCTTAACGGTGCATAAAATCAGAAGGCAAAGAGAAGCGGCAGCTACAGTTTATTGTCAAATAACGCAGGCCAGAAAGTTATAAGCACATGAACATATATCAGCGAGCGAAACAAAAATGACACGCATTGGAGATGGTGGGTAAGCCAACTCACTTTAATCAAGTGTTAGTCAATATTTATAGTCAGATAAGACTAAGTTACAGACATGTGATAAAGAGGATAAGAAGTGTACATACATACGCTCATATAAAAATAGTCAGGGTTAATAAGTGAATAATTAACAAGGTCAAAACGGGACTCATGAATCAATTGAAGCTAGACCACTAGTGTCTCCAGGCTTTCCATGGTCGTTTAGCTTCAATGGATTCATGATCACAACTGTTAAAAATTACTATATTATCCACAACAAACCCCTTCTGATTTTAAAATTTTTCTTTATTTTCAGTCAATACATAGCTAGCTAAGCCTCAGGCTTTTCTCAATACCTAAATTACTGAGTATTGCTTCTCAAAAGGAGAGTATTATTACAAAAGTTAACTGAAATATAAAAATTACCATTGAAAGTAAAAAAACATGTTTAACTTTCTCATCTAATAACTAACGTTTTGTTTGTTGTTAAATAAATTTATTCTGACTGTTTATTTGTTATAACTTGTGACCTGAGTGCCCAGTTAATGTATAACGTGATGATTCCCGCCAATTAGAGAGCAATGATTTATCGGAGCAGTAACAGACAATACCCGTACGAGCAGTCTACAGTCCTTATCGGTCCTGCTTTTCACCTAGCCCATCCAGTTATTTCCAAAACATCAATAACAGCCTCTCTAGTATGATTCATTTATTTCAAGCATACTGGGTTTATATACCAAACAGACAGACCATATTTTACCATAAAATAGAAAATAACATTTGTACAAGATTCAGCCAAAAGTGGCTGTGAATAGGGGGAACAGTAATTAATAAACTGAGGATAACTCAAGAATGGTGAATCGTATAATAATAGTCTATGGAGCAAAGTAAAGCTTATAATAAAAGGTACATGAATATGAATAGTTGAGTTACTTAATTATACAATAGGAAATATACGTATCATATTGGTCCGTAAATAGTTCTCAAAGGTTACCATTCATAATTCTTTTTGCGATATAACATTATTGTAGGATGGCTCGTTGGTAAACTCTAGGAAGCCTTCAAGAAGCCCAGGGAGAACCGAAGACGTTCCATCCAATCACTGCTAGGGGAATATTCTAGAATGTCGACGTGTAGCTTCCCCATTGGATGGATAAGAATGACCCCCTATGTGCCTAATGGTTGTCCAAAATGATGATTTACTCTTAGTCAAAAACTATAAATACATGAGATTTCTGTACTATATTTTGACACTGATTTGGGGAATAAACTTCCTACTTACTAGTCTTCTGTCTTCTCTCTTGCGACGTTGCGGGTTCGATCATTCAAGTAGTCTAGTAGTACGCGGCATAGCAAGAATCAAAGCTCTATATATAACAATTATCATACTTCGTTTAATAATTTCAAATATGGGGATCAACGTATTTAGAAAAATCGAAGTTTACTTATGTCATTTTCAGACCAAAGATAGTAAACATGTTTGAAGTGATTGTAATGATCAAGTAATTCACTTTTTCTTGTTGGCTATTAATATTCGGTTGTATTTTCAGAGTATTTTTCGATTAAATTAGCATCGATGGCTCATAATGCCTGAGTTAAGTGAATGAATAATGTAAATTCGGGTTAGCAATGACTGTTTGAGTAATTAATACTAAACCAAATACTACTAAATATGTAAATTATTGTGAAAAAAACAGCACCAAGCGAAACACAAGCTGAACAGAATATAGAAGTCAATAGCTTGATTAGTAGACGTAGAGAGTGTGAAACAAACCTCAAGAAATTAAGATGCCAGATCAATTAAAATGGATTTGAAACAAAGGTATCACACAATTTATTGAAGAAATTATAACTAAACAATTTATCCCTATTTTGATGTTCTAATCAAAGGAGTAAGTCATTAATAAGTAATGTTATCAAATGAAGAGTCAGAGACTCTTTTAAAAACCATGAGATGACTGTAAATAAGAACCGTATTTATAATTACTGTTGTTAACATATGTAACAGTAAAATTGTGGTGTGCTACTTATATCGACATATGTAGTATACAACGTTAGTCAGCAATGGAATGCCTAGCAGCAGAAGATCAAGAAGCAAAGAACGGGAACAGAAAGTAATTGGTATGGAAATGTAGAAACAATGAAGTCTGAGACGATTGACTGATATTTGCAAAAGGAACAGTCAGGTTTGAAACAACTGATTAACATTTTGCAAATTAAGTATTTATTGTATAATTCTGAGATTTTACTAAGGTGTTCTGTAATTTTGTGTTCAAATACATTTGATTGTCCCCACTTGTGTTCTCGTTCAGAAAACAATGACAGATAACTTAGGAGTTATGCAAGCTTACAATTTGACTTATCTGTACATTATCATACTTACTTACTTACACCTGTTCCCTATCATGGAGGAGCACAGGCAGCCCACCCACATTCTACATCCAACTCTGTCCTGGATAATCACTTCCAGTTCTTTCCAGTTGTTATTCATCCTTTTCATATCTGCTTCTATCTCCCGGCGTAATGTGTTCTTTGGCTTCCCTCTTTTCCGCTTCCCTTCAGGATTCCAAAATAAAGCTTGCCTCGTGATGCTTTTAGTGATTTCCATAATGTATGTCCTATCTACTTCCATCGTCTTCTCCTAAATACCTCCTCAGTTGGAAGCTGGTTCGTCCTCTCCCACACTAGGCTGTTGCTGATGTTATTCGGTTAACGGATACTGAGTATTTTGCGTAGACAGCTGTTTGTAAATACTTGTACAATTTTGATGATGAATGTAGTAGTTCGCCACGTTTCAGCTTCGTACTATACATTATCATGCATTATTGAAATCTTGGTGCACATATTCAAGAAAAAATTTAAATCAGGTAGAGTGGTTAATTAGGACGGCATTAAATATGTTTGGTAAGGAAGTAAAGACACCCAGTTTTACCGAAATGTTGTTTTAGGTAAATTTTGAGAACAGATGACATAACTACAATAATTTAACTATGAATAATAATGCGAATGATAATAAATGCCATCCATACAAAAATACATGATTACAGTTGTTAACGCATAGGGTTTCTGATAACCATGCCAAATAAACTGAACTGAAATTATTACAAAGGCTTGGATAAAGTATTTACTGGTTAACTTCAAGAGTAGAGTATTTGGAATAAAGCCATGAGTGAGTACAAACTTCAAGTATCTGTTATGCAGAGATAAATATTAAGCAAAAGTAAACTTTCTTAACAATCCTATCAGAGGTACAATTATTAAATAATTAGATTCTAACACTTTTTTATTCCCCTACTTGTAAGCTATCACTTGACTCATAAACTGTTATTGTGTATCTTACCTTTCCCAGATTTTTGTTAATTTATTACAAACCTACCAGTGATCCCTTTTCCACTTATGGAACAGTTATGCCCACATTGTAATTTCATAATTCTGTTGATATGTGGTCAGGACTTTGCTTTATTTTATCATATGAATGACTTGTAAATCTGAACTGTATGGTTAGAAGTTGTCTACTTGCTGAGTTCTCTATTCTTGCTATTGGGTGAGCGAGCGAGCGTGGGAAACGTCATTCTGGACAAATGGTTATTCACTATTACTCTAGCCTGCTATCTCATAGTTAGCGTGTTATTGGTTACCCGAAAGTCATTGGTACTGGGTAGACGAGCTAATCAATATTCTGATTAGATCAATAGAAATGCTCTCCTATCTTACAGTTCAATCTCATGGGTCTCAACTGAGTAAACTAGAAAATCTAATTGTTCACACCGACAAATCAGTATCACATTCAATAAAATGGGGATAAAGATTTTGTAGGTTGGAAGCTGAGCGGAATCCCATCAACGTGATCACAAATTTTCTATAAAATAAACATAAAGTATGAATGTGATTCATCTTTGTTCAGTACCAGACAACCTATTTTACTTGAGTTCTAATTGATGTCGATTTATTGTACCTCAACCTGCCATTCTCATATGGAGGATTTCTGAAAAGTCTATCATTTACTAAGATATCTTTTTAAAGTTGAATTCTAAGACATCTCTACCAAATGTGAAATACAGTTGAAGTGAAACGATATTTAGAAAAGCATATATCATCATTACTTTATTACGAAAACAAAGACACAGTATTAATGTGAACAAAGATGTTTTTAATAGTACTGTATTGTTAGTGTAAATATTTGAAAGGAAAATATGGAATGCAGAGATGGATAGTGGCTAGCAGTGGAATCCAGGACGCGCGTTTCGTCCTATTTGGGACTCGTGAATTAAGGCCATATCGAGGCAATACGCACAGTATGCACATATGCCAATTAGAGACTGACCAGTTGCAGTCCTAACACATCGATGGGAAGATTCAAACAAACAACACTAAATGAATGAAAATATGGAATGTTGTTAAAAATTACACCGAACCATATATATGTCAATTACAAGTATTGTAAAATATAATTAAAGTCAATAGTGTTGTTTGAGCGTGTAATTGATCAATTTGGGCATACTGATCTGTCGAAGGAAATAGAAGACCCAAAATAGACCAAATAAGAATCAGAATTCAGATTGGTAACTCAAAACAAGACATTGGTCAATGGTCTCAAGATAGTAACATGTTTAATTTAGTCTTACGGATTCTTAGGCAAACGAATACTACATATAATTTATCTCCTTTCAATCTATAGTATCTACATCAATTTCATAAATGTGGTTGTTCGATATATTTATTCAAATAGTGAAAAGATATTTAACCACTGGAAATGTATATGCATATAAACAAAAATACTTTACTGAAATCATGAACTCACCAATATTAAACCACCATCGAAAACGTGGAAGCACGGGACGGCCGTTTGGTCCCAGTATGGAACTTTTCAGCTGAACGGAACGACCGTTCAATACTTCCAGTTTTCAGTAGTGGTTAAACATTGATCAGTTCAGGATTCCAATACAAAATCAACCATCTCCACAACCGTATACTGATAACATACAATTCAAATTCATTTCAGTTATTTAATAGAATCTCTGTATGAAATGCATACCCCCCCTGACTTCCGACTTTATGGTACAGTACAACTATGACGCTCGTTTTATTGTCACACACATAAATACTCCGAACACTCCTTAAATATTGTTCGCGCTAAGATGTAACATCACAATGAAAGCCGACAAACAAAAGGTACAAAACTGAAACGTTTGTTTTCTCGACAACTTACAATCATAAACAATTCTCTTGCCTCACAATCCCTTGGAGAGCTGAATCAGGAGCCTTCATATAAACGTTGAAAATGTCATGTTTACAATCTGTCAGTGAATTGAATTTCCTACCGTTGTAAGCAACTCACACGTTTAAAAAAGTGATTTATTTAGACAGACTACTCGTAAGTAGACAATAATGTGAAAGAAAATATTGTCTGGCACAACATACTATATCATCCACATAGGTTTCGGTGGTCTGTGGTTATCCTTCTTTTTATAAACAACTTCAGTAAGATGCCTCTGATTATTCCTAATCGACATGTTAGGCGATAAGCTTCACCTTTTTCAGACCTGAGGAAATTTCAAGTGACATGTAAATATTTATAACCTCAAATGTAGGCTTAGTATTTTTTTTTTACAACAGAAATCTAAATATAATTATAAATTTCTAAAAGTTATAGGATGGTATTCAGTTCCACGATTTTTAGAGGAATACATATCATATTACTGAGAAATTACGTTGTGACAAGGGAACTGTTTAATGCTTCCACTATCCTGCATGCAAATCTGACTTCGTTGTTTGACTTTCTAAGCTCCATTACTTGTGATCAGTTTATTTGTTCCCAAAAAATCTCATAATTCACACCTATTAACAAAAAATACTTGGACCTGATATAACCCAAGTTGTTTATTCCGTACATAGTCTCTCCTGTGATTTAATTATTTTTCATTCACTTTAAGGATACTTTAATGACTCTGGTGTGAGACCGAAGGTCCAAGGTTCGAGTTCCACCTTCATGATCATGAATATGCACTTCTGAGGAGTCTTTAAACGGTCGTCCATTTGCTTCCAGGCTTTCAATAGTGGTCCAGCATGATCTCAATAAAAACTCAACTGTCTTCACAAACCTTTACTGATATTCTCCTATCTGTTTGAATAGTGTAAAGCCAAACAAACCATGTGACAGATTAACCGTTCTTATATTATCGGTTATTCTGTATAGCTTCACATATTGGTCCAGATCAATAATACCAACCGTATTATACTTATCCTCGTAGAATTTATTATTTGCCCTTATACGTGCATCCGTTCATATACGTCTTCTTTACACATGTGATTCACCGCCTGTGTGTTTTTTTATTTTATACATGTATTATTTTTCATATATATAATTAGTCGTGCTGACAATAAACAATCTGACTCTAATCATTCTCATTTATGTATATATTTGGCTGCTTATTTTTGAATGCCTGAATATTAAAAATCCAGCTATATTTTGTATGTAGCTTTTTAACACCATCCTTGTTCATTTGTGGTTAGCCCGAAATATTGTATACGAAGTCAAGTGAGGGATTTACATTTAAACGAAGTCAATCAAGGGTCATAATACACCTAAAACTTTCAACAACCAGAATTAGATATCCATCAAAATTTTGTGCATTATCAAAATAAATCATTTGGTGGGTATCGAGGTCTTACTCAAAATGGTCAACTAATAGCTCACTAAATATGTACATTTCGTATTTTATTACCTGATATTTCGGCACATGATCACAAGTAGTATATTCAAGTAATTCGTCTTTTTGATTGAGATCATGAATCGACTGATGTTAGACGATGATTGAAAACATGGAAGCACTGGACGGCCGTTCCATCCTATTATGGGACCCCTTAGCAGTGTGCACTCACGATCTCGCACGCAGGACCTTCGTGCTCACGTGTGAACGCTTAACCTCTGGGTCACTGGGGTGGCACCCAACGGTCTTAATGTCTAAGGATACGTTTCGTAACTCAGATGAAGCCAATACCCCAGAATAAATAAATTCGACTTATTTATTCTTTGAAAAAGTGGCTTACATGAAGTCAAGAAACGTCAGAAAATTTTTAATTTCTCTATCCACTTGCAATTTTACAAATATCTTATTTTAATTAGAAACACTTCCTATGTCTATAATTTCATTATCATTACTCAGTTATCACTGCCAATTTACTTAAACATTGTAATTTGAAAAGCTGAATAATAACACATATGATATCATTCACAAGTAAACATTTACATGGTTCAAATAGGGTAACGAATTATCCAATGTTTCATCTAAAGAAACTTTGGTTTCTTAAACGAACTACTAGTAAGTAGGCTAATTCGCATGAATAAATATGATGAAATATAATATTTTAAATTCATGGGATTAAATATCGTCTGAGGCAATGGGGTATATCGTTCATAAGAGAGGTAAGGTATATGTCACAATAGGAAAATTAAATTCTGAGCTCTGTATTAACAAAAAAAGTGACATTTAAGTAATAAGGACCAAATATTTAACTTCAGTTAACTTTGGTTGGATAGATTTGAGTTCAATGAATCTTTCATTAATCACAGTTATCGTTTATCTTCATAACTTCTTTAAAGATTTCAAACAGTCAGTTCACTTCAGTTCAGAAGTTGTAAACTTTATGGTTTTACTGCATTCCAATAAATTTATATTTTATATATATCCATGATAACACTATGAAACATTTTGTTCATTCAGCGTTGGATAGAAGTTTCTCAGAAACATCTAGAAATTGAAGGGTGACGAGCCAATTATTCTCCTACTATGTTTATTATGGTTCCAGAAACATCCGGAAGCCCAAAGTCATCTGACGTGATATATATGCTATATGTATTTTCTTAGAAAAAATGTAAAGAAATTTCGAAAAAATACAATGAAAATGATATTTACACATGACGTGAAGTGTAGACGAATTCTGTTGTGTTATCATTTGAAAATACTTTTGTCTATGTAAGTAGTTGATAATATACACACGACATACACTTTTATGGACTAAAAGCAGTGAAAAGTTTAACACATCCAACTAACAGCGTACAATTCACATTGGTTTAACTCTGGTCTGTTAGATATATCTTATTTGAAGTAGGCGTCATAGAATGAAGAGATTCGGAAACTGATTAAGCAATAACGTTGACAAGTAAACTTACAATTCACCTTCACAAACATTTATCATCTGATGTCCCATCGTAGGATAAACACTCTTGTTACCGTTCCAAATTTGTTGTTAAATACTGATGGCAAAACGTTTGCACGATCTTCTCATCTTAACAGTCAGTTAGTATCAACATTATGTATCAATTTGAGGAATTCCGAATTTCTATTCACACCACCTCATCATCATGTTGTAATGACCACTTATTTCTTAATATTTCAGTCACAAGGCACAGATAAATCATGTTCTTGATAAAAGCATCTCCAAACAATCGAGTCAGTTGTCGCAAATATATTTCCGCAAACATTCGATTAAATCAATGTAAACCGATATAAAGACAGGTCACTGAAGAGCACTTCCCTCTCATTCATCCCATTCACCACCAAATTTTTGGTAGTCAGTATTTCACACACACGTGATTGTGATGAGTTCCTACTCTCAGATTACAAAATATTGAATTTCCTATCATCGATGTAACTCACCGATGATTCGAGAATATGTGGTTAGGATGAACAGCATTCCAGAATGATTTCAGTTGTTCACGATCCGACACTCAGCTTCACAGAAATGTCATTCAAGTATTCAACATCCAACGATTGACATGTTATCACAGAAACTCAATGAGTTAGTTCAGTTTCACATGATACTCGAACGCCATTCACTATTAGTCAACATGTCTAGTTCTCACTATTCAAGTAGGAAAATAAATCAGTTGTTGGTTCAGATGAACGATAATTACGAAACCTGAATTCATAAACATACAATTGATGAACTTCAAGTGTAAATGTGAATCTGGATATACAAAGTAATTTCGAAGTGACAATGAGGTAATTCAAAAAGACGATGATTTCCAACCACATTTTCACTTGAGTACTTACATGACGTTGAAATAGGGAACAAATATTTCCATGATTCGATTGTAATCATGATGTTGGTGCTCACTGAAAAACTTACACAACCACACAATCAGGCGTCAGATAAATAACTTTCAAACAATGTTTACATGAATATGAGAGTGCGCCATTTCACTGATTGCTCTTTGATTTCGGAATTGACTTGCATCACAGTGACAGTGGAAATACCATTATTCATATGTCAAGTCTATCTACTCACTGATTTGCTCCGTGTTCCATTCTGAAGTCTCATTTTTTCATAAGTATACGAGGAAAGGAAGTCACATACAATTACTATTATTATCATCCCACTTTAAGCTCATCCGCCTAATAATGACTTGCGCAAAACAGCTTTCATGATCAACAAAACATAGACATTGCCTATCAACTAAACCATGTTGATATTAAACTCTTTTGGAAACCACATCAACTCATCGAAGCATAATTAAGTGCGTATTTATCTATGTACATTCACAATCATCATATAATTATTGATTATTCCGTGATCATTAAACAAACATTGTTCTGTTGCCATGAGCAACTCATTTTCACAGCTAACAACCACATTCATGTTTAATGTAGAATCTATATCAAAGAATAACGATATATGTGAATTCTTTTCTGTGGTTAGTTCTGAGTCAGTTGATTATTTTCATTATTATTATTATTATTATTATCCCTGTTTTTATCCTTGTTATTGTGATTGTTATCTAGTTTGTTATGATAGATTTGATGATACTATGAATTATTTTAATGTTACCATAACACCTCTTCGTAAACAAACTTCATTCATGATGATGACGACAGTCAATTTGATGCACTGAGAAACAATACAACTTACTTTCTGTCAGTTACAACGAATCAAACATAATGGCTCAGATTATTTTGAATTATGACTGAAATTAAATGGTCACAATATTCATTCACAATGCTAATAGTATTCGAAATAATGAAGTCGTAATTGTGATCATCATTACTGTTTCTCTATTGAATGATTGCATCTGCTATATTGGATCAAGTGATCATGTGTTTCCAATGTGGTTAAACAATGAATGTCGTTTGAAAGTAAACTTAATTATAGTGAAAAATCTACTGTTGGTCCATGCTTAGAAATATATCTGTTATTGAGCACAAACTGTTTTCTGTGAAATGAAAATGCAATGGGGGAAAATGTAAACCGAATTCAATAAACAACATAACTTTCAGGTTTTCATTTTCCCATGGTGATTCATGAATGAATTCACACGAAACATCACAGAACTGCAACATTCAACACTGCTCACTATAAAACTACAGGACTCAGTCATGAAGCTGGCCATTCCTAAACGGCGATCACTGTGTGTTGGTTGGTGTTTTGTGGAAAGAAAATGTAAAATCCATACATAGGAATGAAGTTGATAGACTATAAATTCATTGTGAGAGAGATTTGCTCACATTCAAACAGTCAGGGAACAGGTGGTAACATTGATAGATTTTCTCAATGAACAGATTCACAACGAACGAGTAACATGAAAGTATTCATAAAACATTCCTCAAAATATCAAAGTAGATTACACGTTTTTGATGTTTAGAATTTGATGAATGTGCACTGAATGTGTAGTATTCAGTACATTTAACTGTTGAGCTTGTTTACAAAAATCATGTATAAATGGTTCTTCATAAACTACACCTTCTTACTGAACCATTCTGTCAACAAAATTTATGATTATTCCAATCTTACCCATAGGTGGTTCATCATCATCATCATCATCATCATCATCATCATCATCATCATCATCATCATCATCATCATCATCATCATCATCATCATCATCATCATCATCATCATCATCATCATCATCATCATCATCATCATCATCATCATCATCATCATCATCATCATCATCATCATCATCATCATCATCATCATCATCATCATCATCATCATCATCATCATCATCATCATCATCATCATCATCATCATCATCATCATCATCATCATCATCATCATCATCATCATCATCATCATCATCATCATCATCATCATCATCATTTCTGTGTACATATCTTTGCGATAATGTCGATGTCGATTAGCATCTGTTGACAGTGCAAACTAGATAGACAGTAGTCAACGATTTAATCTACATTATACACTGTGACTGTATGGGTGTATTTATCAATTTCACTGCCGTTTCTCTTCACTCGAATTTTACTCAATTTTGATAAACAGAATATGTCAAGCTACTCAACGTTTGTTAAAACACCAACTTGTATATTCTGAATCAAATTAAATTCACCGCATACTGAATCCCATTAAATATGAGATGGTATTTATTGTTTTATCCAATTTAGTTAGGAAAATGTTTACGCGTGATGTTCTTTGGTGGATTATTCAAACCAATAAACAGTCAACACATCCACAGGTATGGTTTACAATTACTCATTCATTCTATTCAACATTTACTTATCTCATCACATTCATTCATCAAGGCATCGTCCTTCACTTTACATATTTGTGTTTAATGGCGTCTAACTTCTCTGTAATTCAAAATAATTCATAAGAAAAATTACACCTCAAATCTATCATTCCTCTCTTCAACCACATTACAGAAAACTGCTCGTCTAAAACAACATTGCATTTCTTGAATATTTAGTTGTCAGTATTCAAATTACACTTCGGTACATCATTCGTATGTTGTTACCTAACCAGTAGTGACTTCCTAAACAAACCACCATTGTAAACAGAATCATTCTCGATAATCCATTCTCAGAAATGAAGATGAATTCGATCTGTTTGTTTGTTCAATAGTTACTCAGTGAAAATAACACTGTCAGGAGGTGCTTAGAAAAGTTGAAATATTGTCCAACACAAAACTCAAATGATGCATCAAAACATGGCATCGAATTGTATGATAACGAATTCCCTAAGATTGTTTAATGATGGTGGAAGTGATACTCATTTCAGATTACTGCACACTGAAAATTTCACATGTGGAATGTATTCTGATGTGTATTATTCCACAGTGTCATATTGACTGACACACTTAATGACGGAATAGTTATGTCCTATGTTAACATGATTCATGAGCCATAGCTTCTCACATTTGGTAAATACGATGCTTATTGATGCATGTATCTTCACTACACAAACGATCCTGGACAATCGAAATACATATCAAACATAATTTCGCATGTTGCAATCTTTCCAACTGCATTCTTATTGTATTATTATCATTTTCACTACTTGCAACCTGAAGAATCATTGAACAATTGAACAAAAAATAAATTCGTATATATCAATAAACATTCATCCCACAGAACAAATTACTCAAACTTCAATAGTATTCAACAACCGGTGGACGAAACATCTGTTCCCAATACTCACAACCCACCTCTCTCTCTCTCGAATATACTAACAACAATTTCAATTCCAATCCAATATACTACTTTATATCATGAAAAAAGTTGCACTGGATGGTTTGGAATATCTTCTTACCAGTTCAATAACATACTACAAATTCCATCACAAAATCCAATAATACGAAAAAAACAAAATGACATCTAACATATGAAGCCAAACAATGCTGTTGTATTCCGATTACAATCCAAACATATGATATGAAACAGATTAGAACAGCAGTGATTCAGATGTCTACAATCATATGGGTCGAAATTTAAACCAGAAAAGAAGTTGGATATTTCATGAGTGCATTTACATACTTACACACATACATACATACATACATACATACCTATATTTAGAGATATATCATGTACGTATGTAATTATATGAATAGTTTATGAAAGTTGGTGGATTTTGTCGACATCAATGTACTCGTTGCTAGGATACATCCAAATGTATTCTTGAATCAGGAAATCAAAATTCCTACTATTCTGGTTTCTTGAAATATTTGAATGACTTATACAGTTTTATAAATAACCAACATAATCACACTGACAACGACTACTGAGTTGATCAACAGACTTGTGTATCATCCATATTTCATTATTGAAATACACTATATCCATAACAATTCTCGTTCATTGATCTCCATCGAATGAGAACATATTGCATCTGTTGAAGTAATAAACAAATCTCTTCATTTGTGATGTTGTGTGTTCTCGTGTCGTTTATACTCAGAAATGCGATTAATCAGTCAGTGTGGATAATGCCACAGTGGTTTCAATGATCATCACATGTTTCATGTGTAACTGAATTGATGTATAGTAGCCAAATATTTGAAATTGTGTGTAAGGGCTACAACTGACACATGTTAAGAGATTCGTTGAGAGATTCTGTTAAGAAGAGAGTAAGCAGGCTCGTCTAACTCCGGTCCTTACTTGGATGCGTCTATCAGCTGTCCTCCATAAACGACTTTACATTGTAGTCCGTCTTATGCATTTCGTATGATGTTGAAGATCTTCTCAGGTTAGGTTTTTCTTGTTTTGTCATTTCGTCCTTTGGTTTGCATAAGATTGATTGAAGTGATTTTTTGTTTATCTACTTCACCTATTCCAAAAGGTTTCATATCAACGGAAGAAAAACAACACTCAACTGACTTCAAAAGAACAAAAAGCTTTAAAAATCTCAGAACTGGAGATATTGTCATAGTTCCAACGGACAAATGACACACTACAGTGATTATGGACAAGCAATAATATATCAGGAAAGCCGAGGAACTACTTGAAGATAAAAGCGTATACAAATCAATCGACACAAACCTGTTCAAATGGTTGGAGAAAAAAATCTCAAAGACCTTAAATAAGCCTATCAAAACAGAGAAAATATCAAAGCAAAACCAACAAAATCCTTTCAGTTACTCAGGACGAAATAACAAAAAAAGAAAAATCTAACATCATCTGCAAAATAAATTGTTCCAACTGCGAAAAAAACTACATTGGACAAATCGAACACCCTCTTCATCTTCGTCTGCAAGGACATCAATTAGCGGGCAAACGCCTCGATGTATCCCCGTTTATATCAATGGGTGCGGACAGCTGTGGACAGACATTCGACTGGAAAAATGCTGAGATCTCGGATAAAGGCAATTCGAAGAACATCAGAGAAATTTTGGAAGCTTGGTACCAAGGTCAATCAGCAATCAACCATCACATTGAAATCGACCCGTTTAAGTTTAACAATAACCGATCAACATCGAGGTCTACAGACAAGGTTTGAGCCATATGCAGAGATATTCGAACACTTCACTTCTACCTGAAGTTTGTGTTTTAGACTTATTGTTCAACTGTAATAATAAGATAATGATAAGTGATTTTCTAGGACGACGGATAATGTTTAAAATTCTCACTTGTTCTTAGGATTCCCTCAAAACTTTGCGTCGGCTGTTTTAATTTTTCCGTTGATGCTTAAGACTGCACCTGATTAGCCACTTTTGGAATGTGTGCATCCAGAGCGGACGTCTTAATAATGAGTCCTAAATAAGATGAAATGTCCATCCAGTATTCCACTGCTTTCCACCAATAATCTTTGTTTATAATACATGTGACTTAACGGCAATATCAATATAATGCTCACATATTCCACATATTCGAAAAGCAGCTGAACAGTTACAGTCCTAAACATCAGTGGAAGACTCCAACAATTAACTCAAATGAAATAAATAATGAACGTAGAAAATAATGTGACGCTCATCAACCATTTCCAGGACTCAGTGTTGTAATACGTTATTCAAGTAGTTTGTTTTATTAATGATCAATAAAGCAGGTCGGATAATTCAATCATATAGTTTAATGACTTAGTATTTGATTATCAGATGACTAAAACTGACGATTTACAAGGGTTTACATTCATTCGTTTATTAGTTCTTAACTAAAAGGTAATCTTTATCGGCTTATAGAAAATACTACCATAATATAGATATGAAAAAAAACATACAGAATTGAATAGTTGATATCATGAGTCAATTAAATCTAGACCACCATGGAAATCCTAGAAGCAGTGGATGGCCGAGTCTGTTGTGAGATAGTAACTCACTGAAAACAACGGTGGATGGTGACGCAATATCGTGGATTGATTGAAATTAGACATTAACACTTTTGGATGCCTGTCCAGTGGTTTAGAGGTTAAGTGTTCACACACGAGATCGAAGGTTCTTGGTTCAAGTATCACGTGTGAGATTGTGAATGTGCACGGCTGAGGAGTCCCATACTAGGACGAAACGGTCATCTAGCACTTCTAGGTTTTCGATGGTGGTCTAAATAACCATAATATCCATAAAACCCTTTTTTGATATACAAAATTATTAACCTTAGATGTGGATACTGGTTAAACAGTTCGGAAACCTCAAGTATTGTCTGCTTATTGTATATGTGAGAGAAAAAGTGATTTGATGTATATACAAAGTGTAAGTTGTATACAATAATAATAATAAATTCTTTCCAATGAAGTGGGTTTGTTTTTTCTAGTCAAAGATAACTTCCTAAATAATTCGCTTATGTAAATTAGAAACGTTTTCCCACAATTCATATAAGACATTTCAGTTAAATTCTGACAGTTCTTGTATAATATCAAAGTATAAATCATTCTTACATTTGTTTATTTATTTTCACACACTTACTTACTTACTTAAACCTGTTACCCCTCATTGAAAAGTATAGGCCACACACTTAATAAAAAATATAAATATTATAATCTTTCCAATAACAGGAAGACATAATAAGTGTTTGCAAGTTATATCTAACAAGCTATTGGGCCAACTGTTTAAGGTTAAATAATATTTTGATAGTTGAGATCATGAATCAATTCAAGCTAAACCACCATGAAAAACCTGGAAGCACTGAACGGTCGTTTCATCTTATTATGAAACTCCTCAAAAGTGTGCATCCACAATGCCGCCTAGCGAAATTTGAACCCAGCACCTATCAGTTTCGCGCGAGAGAGCTTAACCACTAGACGTAGAATATTCATTTTATAAATGACCAAGTAATATATCTATAAAAAGTATACGTTATCATTCAAAATCAATACTTGAAATATCATCCAGTTCCTTAAGTATTTTGAGTTTCATAAATTTTACCTTCGTAAAAATTTTTCCCAGATTTACATAACTGGGGAAAAAAAATTCTAAAAATAT